CCACTCATTGTTTATGCTGGAACATTTTCTCTCCATGGAATGTAAGTAAAACTTAGTGTTTGTCACCAATAAATGATAATACTAAAAAAAGAAACAAAACAAAACAAAAAAAACCCCCCAGGCTCTTTGTTGCGAGAAAAAGAAGTTTATTCCGGTAAACAGGGAGTAGAAATCAGGAGATTTTAGCAGATAGTTGGAAAAAGCCATTTATCACATCTGTGTGTGGATGGGCTGACATTGGGAGACAGAGATAGTAGCAGCTAGCTGGGAGAGATTTCATCCGTGAGTGGATGGGCTAACACAAGGAGAGAGATATATTAGCAATTAACTGGGAAAGGAATTAGGAAGGGGCTAAGGAATCTGGGATGAAATATTTATGACTTGGTTGCCCAAGGATGGTCTGCTCAGGTGTGTACACAATTACTGGACTTCTTGGCACCAGGGAGGTTGTATACTACATTTTGAGTCAATTTGCCCTATTTACTGAGAAGCTGCTGTTGTTTGCTGAAAGCAGCCTGTTTGCTTTTTCCTCTTGGTTTAGGGCAGGCCTAATGTATACCATCATGCCTGGCCATTTCAATAGCTTTTAAGTGTTCAAATCTGTAGTTGTTAGTACTTTCAGAATTTTGTGCAACAATCACCGTTGTTTTCAGAACATTTTTATTACCCCAAATAGAAGCCCTGTACCTATTAAGCAACCACTCCCCATTTCCCTCACTCCTTAATTTGCTTTCTATCTCTGTGGATTTGCCTATTCCATATTCTCTTTCATACAAATGGAATCATACAATATGTGGCCATTTGTATTTGGCTTCTTTCAATTCGTGTGATGTTTTCAATATTCATCCATATTGTGGCATGTGTCAGAATTTTGCTCTCTTTTATGAATGGGTTATATTTTAATCTATATAATATTATATGGATATATAGCATTTTATTTATTCAGTCATTCATAAATAGATTTTTGGGTTGTTTCTACCTTTTGGCTATTAAGAATAATGCTGTTATTAACATTTATGGAAAAGGTTTTGTGTGAACGTATGCTTTTCATTGCCTTTAGGTATATAGAGCTAGGAATGAAATTACTGGGTCATATGGCAACTATATCTGGTTTATATTTTAAAAGCTCATTTTAGCTGCTGTGTTGTAGATATATTATGTGAGTACAAGGGAAATGGCAAGGTGATTAGTTAGGAAGGTATTGCAATCAACCAGTTGCTAGACGATGGTTGTCTGGGCCAGAGTAATGGCATTGTAAGAGATAAGAACTGATCAGATTCTAGATAAATGTTTGTTGAAGATAGAATGAAGAGTATTTGCTGACAAATTTGATTTGTATTGTGAGAGAAAGAGAGGAGTCAAGAATGATTTTAGAGATTTTTGACCTAAGAAATGAAAGAAGGTGTTGCCACTAGATGAGACTGTGGGAAGAGCAGGTTTGAGGGAGGATCATGGTTTTGGTTTTACAATTGTTGTGTTTGAGACATCCAACTTGGAGATGTTGAATAATGTATTAGTCAGTATTTGCAAAAGAGACAGATTTAATGCAGGACAGAAATTTACAAGATTGGCATACAATATTCACCCACAGAGTCAAATGCAAAAGTGTGCAAGACATCTGTCCTCACACTACGGATCTGAGGAATCCAGCCAAGGGCCTGGATTCCACATCAGTGTCCTGTATGAGTCCAGCTGAAGGCCTAGAGCCCATAGCAATGTCCTGTGCAAGTCCACACCAGGAGGCTGAGGAATCCATGATGAAAGACCGATTTGTGCCAGAAAGTTCAAAGGCCAGCACTGGAGGCTAGAGGGTCTTCACCAGTAGGCTGAGAAACTGACACTGGAAGTCAAATAATTCTTGAAAACCAGGAGATGATACCCACCGCAAAGCAAAGACCAGAGCTTCCAGCCAAAGTGTCTGTGCTAAAGTCCAGAAGACAACACTCAAGGTGAAGGCACAGACCAGAGCTTCTCCCAAGAGAACAACAGCCATCCTTGGCAAAGGCAAACACTGGAGTTCTGCCAAAGAGAGCAGCTGAAGCTTCTCTGAGGGAAATCAACATAAATTCCTTCCCTCCTATTCTCCCCTTATGCCATTCTGGACAACCATGCTGACTCAAATCAACTGGGAGTTTCCACTCAAGTTGACCATTAATTAACCACCACAAGTAGACTATTGGAAAAACAAATCTGGAGTTTAAGTAAGAAATAAATTTGAGTTATTACTTTATAGGACAAATTTAAAGCCACGAGACTAGATGAACTCATTTAGTGATAATTCTAGGTTGAGTAGAAAAGCAGCCCAGGGAAGAAACCCAGACATAACTCAAATATTAAAGTTCTAGGAGAGGAGGAGAGACCAACAGAAGAGATTGAGAAGAGGCAAGCAGTGAGATTGGAAGAGGAAACGCAGAGTGTGTGGAGTCCAGGAAGTGAAGGGAGAATGATTATCTCCCTCTGGTGCTCTCTCATTAACTATTTGAGATAAAGAGCCCAGAGATGGTGTTCTGACATTTAGAGAAGAGGACTATTGTTTTGAATGCCCAGGGTCATCCTTCATTAGGTTAATTAAGCTAGAAACGAACTCTGATTTTCTCTCTTTCTCATTACTGAGACAAAATACTCAACACCCAAAGTTAAAGGAAGAAAGGTTTATTTGGCTCACAGTTTATAGAGGTTTCAGTCCATAATTGGCTGGCTCCAAGGCAGGGTGGCACAGCAGATAGGCATCACAGAGGAGAAACAGTTCATGGTGGGTAGAAGGCAGCAAAGCAAGCAAGAGAACTTAGCAGGATCTTTCTGCTGCTCTATGTAGGCTACTGGGATTAGGGTGGTACCAAAGCAATCAGTGGACTGATTTAGTAGTCACCCATCCCTAATCCTAGCACCCTTAATCCTAGCATTGCACCATGAGTCAATCACACACTCTAGATCCAGCCACCTCTGAAAAAGCCCCACCTATGACTGCATGAGGCTTGGGGGGTCATGTAGACACAAGTCACAACATCTTCTGAGTATATCTCTTTTTTTTTGGTACTGGGTATCAAACTCAGGACCTTGTGCTTGTGAGGCAGGTGGTGGCACCACTGAGCTAAATCCCCACCCCTCTTCTGAGTATATCTTAAAAACATACTCTTATTATTGGACACATAAAAACCCTACCAAGGGCCTTTATTCAAGAATGCAGTCAACAAATATATGAGAACCTACTCTATACTTGCCTATCTTCTAGACAATGGAACATAGAAGTAAACAAAATAGATGGTCATTTATCTCATGAGTGTAGTCAAATGGAGTAGAGACATCAAACAAATCATTCATTAAAATTATTATTTTCTTAAATAATGTATAACTTTATTATCATGCACTAAACACACACATAGACAAAAAGTAAAATTATTCAAAGAAAAGCAATGCAAGGGAAAAAACTATAATAATATTCAAATATAATAGAACTCAACCAAAGCAAAACTGAAAAGTACTTAAACACTTTTCCATATAATTAAAAAAAAATCTCAAGCTTTAACAAAACATCAGAAGATGTGATTTGTTTTAGAAAGATTTTCAAAACTAATATTGAACAAATGGTGGTCTGGAGAAAAATTCTAATTAACTAGTAGACTCCACATAGGTCAAATTTTTTAAATTTAAATTTCAATACAGTCATGTGACACGTGATGGGAATATAATCTGAGAAATATTTTATTAGGCAATTTCATCCATGTGTATCACAAAGTACCACACAGAGTGCCAACTTCTAAGTGCAAACTGAAAAGGTATACGTCAATCATCTGTGATGGCCCCTTGATATTATCCAAATAGGCAGTTAAACACGAGATACATGAGGCTACCACTGGCACTGTTTTACAGTAAACTCTTTTATATAAGTAGGATTATGCTCTAAAGGATGAAAAGCACAGCATGTTATGATGAGTACCTAAAACAGTAACAGTCATTTATCACACTATTGAATAGTGTGCATTATACATAGTTGTATGTTTTTCTTCTGGAAACATACCCTCCTCTCCTTTGATGTCAGTGACTCCTCCTTCCCAACCCACTGATGAGCTCCAGCCTAGTCTCTATCTACATCTCTTCCTATAGTTTTAAACACAATCTATATATGGATTCTTTCCAGATTCCGGCCTGTAACCTGATCTCTCCCCTTCCCCTCCTGCCACCCCTACCCTTTTGAATCTTTTCTTCATATTTCAAATTATCCATTATTCGTTTTAATCCTTAATTACACTTTCAGTTTCTCACACTAGAGAAACTGTTCGGTAATTACACGTGTGTCCTATTTATTTCACTTGAGAGGATGGCCTTGATATGCATCCATTTCGCTATAAATGTCTCCAGTTTCTTGTTCTTTATGGCCGAGTAGTACTCCATTTTATAAAAAAAACAATCTTCTTTATCCAGTCTCCAGTTGATGGCACTTGGGTTGTTTCCAAGCTTTAGCTATTATCATTTAAATTATTGAACAAAGGAAATAACTTGTTTAAAAGACATAAGCCAGTAATTACATATATGATGAATGTTACTAAGAAATCAGGGTGTTTGGGGAGCAAGGTTATTTATTCATACTTGGTGTATGGTCAGAGAGAGCTGGAGGAATTGACATAGAAGCAGAGAACTGAAGAAGGAGTTGATTCAGCCAAGTGAAGAAAAGTGGCCACTGTGAAAAGAGGGCAGGAGGATGCTTTGGGATGTTCAAGGAACCATAAGAAGTTCTTTTTCTGGAATGCAAAGTGTAAAGAAGAATGGAGAGTGAAAGATGAGGCTTGAGTTGAGCAGGTGTTAAGTCTAGGATTTCCTTGCTGTGCTAAGGAGTTTGGGTTCAGTCCAACAGCAATGGGGAGCCATTGGGGTTTTAAAAGTCTACTTATATTTATTTTAGAAAACACTCACATTACCATTGTGAATGGATTGGAAGGAGGGCCACAAATAGGCAAGAGACCTTGCTTCCTTTTAATATTGGCTCTTTGTTTTTATTCTAGTGTGCCATTTGAAGTGCCAAAGTTGAAAAGTGGTAAGAGTGCACTGGAAGCTGAGAGCGAAAGTCTGGATAGCTACACAGCTGACTCAGATAGCACCTCAAGGTGGATATACCCCCATTTTCCTCACCTCTGCTCAATCTGAGTTCTTATTTTGTTCTCTAGCATCAAGTTGCAGGTCTCTGCCTCTGGGGTTCCTGATTTCTGTCTTCAGGCAGCTGAGTGTAGGTAGTATTTTCTCTGACCTCACTAAAAATCTCTCAGCAGCACTTACACTGAGTTGACTCTGAACACAGCTTTCTGGAGTATGTTAATTTTCCCAGTCTGCTGTAACTTGGAGGATTCTTCCTGGACCAGTAGCAACTGATGCTGCTGTCTCTTAGGTGTAGGGGTAAGAGTGTTTGTGTTTGTGTAAAACTGCTTGTCTGATCTTCTACGTGCCTTTAAGATAAATCAAATGTGAAATTTGGATTTGGTTTCTTTGGTAACTTTTGGATTTGGTTACTATGATGACCCCAAGCCAGTGACTCTCCTTCCTTGCTAGAGCTTTGGGTCCTGGGTAGAAGAGGAAGGGGAAGAAGTGACTTAGTTATAACATCTGAATCTACCTCCAGGGGAGACTCTCTGGATAAATCTGGCCTCTTTCCAGAATGGAAGAAGATGTCTGCCCCCAGATCTCAAGTAGAAAAGGTAAACTTCAGGTTATTGGTTTTTCTTCTATTCTGTCTCTCTTTTTCTTCCCTTATCTTCTTTTTATTCTCATCCCTCCCCACTTTCCCCTTTCCTTCCTTCTTTTAATTCTTACCCTTTGCCTCTCCTGCCCTCCCTTCTCTGTCCTTCCTTTCTTCTTTCCTTCCTTCTCCACAGAGAATTTAAATCAGGAAATCAATTAAACACATTCCATTTCAGATTCACTTGGAAGCCCTTTCTAAGGTTTTGGTTGAAATGTGTGATAAAGTCATCTTTTTTTCCCACTACTTTAGGCATTTAATTTTTAAGTTTGTCATAGTTGAGTAACTATCAGAGCCTTATTCTGCTTAAGGCTATCCTTCATTACTTGCTACTTCCACCTACCCAACTGCCAGTTTCCACTTCTTTGCCCTTATTCCTTCCTAGGAAATGCAGCCAGTGGGTCAAAATGTAGTATCTGTTGATGAGGATGAAATAATATTCAAGAATACCAGAAAAGTCTTCAGGCCTTCAGGTAGCCAGTTTGGGAACTATAATTCTGCGTACCCATACTGGGCACTTGGTACGAAGAAGAGTAGGTGTATTTTGACTTGGGTTTTTGGTCTTTCACTCAGAATATACTAAATCTGTGATAGATCTTCGTCCAGAAGATGTAGGGCCTGAAAGTAGCTCCATGGGAGACAGAAGCAAATCTGTGCCAGGCCTCAGTGTGAATATGGTAAGTACTCTAATATTTCATTTGGTCAGTGTATTTTTTTTTCTAGTGTTGGCTTCAGTACCTGTTATTCTCAGTCAACTATTTAATTCTTTTAGAAAGGGCAACATGAATCTTGATTCCCTGAAATCTAGTTCCTGATTTTCTTAAAGGGAAGGACTCTTTTTACTGTCTCTCATCTTCTAATACATTGCCGAATATATGATTGGAGGCTCAAATATTATTTTGATTAAAATTTAAAGGTATAGTTGGGTTAGGTAGTCAACTGAAAAAGAATTATAGCTTCTGTGAATGTCTTAGTTACTTTCTTATTGCTGGGATAAATACTTCACACCCACAAAGTAAAGGAGGAAAGGTTTATTTTAGCTCAGTTTGTAAAGGTTTTAGTCCATAGTCAGCTGGATTCAAGGCAGGGCAAATATGGCAGAGGTGCATGGCAGAGGAGAAACAGTCCATAGAAGGGTATGTACAAAAGTAGCAAAAAATGAGTCCCCCTTTCCCTTTTATTCCATTCAAGCTAAAAGCCTACTGGCTGGTACCACCCACACCCAGGGTGAGGCTTCTGTTTTCAATAAATTCATTTAGCCACACCCAGAAAAATGCTAACCAATTAGTGGATTTAATTCAGTACCACACTCCCTTAATCTCAGTATGACACACCCATGATCCAGCCATCTCCCAAAAGCCACATTTATGAGCACATGAGGCTTTGAGGGGCCATCTACACAGATATAAGCCATAACATGCTGCCCTGGCCCTCAAAAGATTCATGTGCATCCTTTTATGCAAAAATGCATTTAGTTAATTTCTAAGAGGTGTCAAAGTCCTAACAATTTCAGCATTGCTGAAGAGTCCAAGTCTAAAGTCTTGCCTGACATTTAAGGAAAACTTTTAGCTGCGAGCACCTGTAGAGATGAAAAGAAAGTTAAACACTTAGAACATACAATGACACAAAATAAATATTCCCACCCCAAAAGATAAAAATAGGAAGATAGACAGGAATGACACCAAAACAAGACCAAAATTCAGCCAGGCAAAAATTAAATCCCATAGTTCCATATCCAGCATCTGGGGCAATCTGGGGCAAAAAGTGAACTCTAAAGGGGTTGGGTATTTCTGCTTCTATGGCACTGCTGGTAGTTGTACCTCTCATGGCTTCTCTCTTGGGCCAGCTTTGTGCACTCCTCAAATGATCCATGTTCTTGGCTTCTCTAGCCTCTGGGGTCTCTACTGCACCTTTGTCTTCTCACTTACAATTTTACACACTGCCCTCTCAGGGGCACACTGCCTGGTCTTACAGGCCTTCTTCTCAAATTTGGGTGCAAGATTTCCTGACGCCACAACTCTTGCAATCTGCATGTAACTAAAATCAGCACCATGTGGATGATACCAAAGTCTGCCACCAGCTGTAGCTGTAGCCAGGCTTTCTTCTCTATTGACTATAGGGATTGAGTGCCTGGATTGCTGAGCCCTAGGAACCCAATCCCGAGGAACAACTTCCCTGGCCACTGCCATTTTGGAATATGGTATTCTGGGGCTTTCTACTCAAAGCAAACAAAGGCTTTCACATTTGCAATTTTGAGGCTGCAAAGGTTGTAGTACTGCTGGTTCTTGTGACACCCTCAGGCCGTCTTTCCTATTGTCCTCTTCTGAAATATTGGCTTTTTATTGCTAATCTTTTTAGCAACCAGTTTCTCCTCTGTTGCATGTTTGCAGGCTGCAACTTTACTGGAGCTTTCTTTCTGGTCAAACTCCAAACTTTAAAAATCATTCTGCTGGGCCTTTTGCTCTAGATTCTCAGCATAGATCTAGCTAAAAGCCCCCAACAGTAGCCATGCCACCACCTCAACATTAGACTGCCTTGAAATGTCTTCTGCAGGATTAATTAGTTTACTGCACTTAGTCTCTTGTAAATTCTTTGGGGATGAGCAAAATACAGACAAATTTTCTGCCAAAACATAATATACATGGTCTGGAGTCCAACAGCCAATTCAGTCCTTGGTCCTAGCTGAAATCTCTTCAACCTGGTTTTTGTTAGCTTCATTTCTATCAGCATTCTGGTATTCTGAGCACTGACCAGAATTTCCCAGCATTTCTGCGTACAGCTTTTTGTGGTGGTTCTTCAGCCAGCTTCTCCAAACCCTCCCAAACTCTTCCCACAAGTCAGTTCCAAAGGCTTCTGAACCACATGGTCAGGTAGTGTCACAGCAATGACCGTACTACTAGTACCAAAATCTATCTTAGTTACTTTGTCCTTGCGGGGACAAATACTCAACATCCACAGGTTAAAGGAGGAAAAGTTTGTTTTAGCTCACAGTTTATAGAGGTTTCAGTCCATAGTAAGCTGACTTCACCACACAGCAGCAAGGAGCATGGCAGAGGACAAACAGTCCATGGCTCATTAGGTATAAAAGTAGCAAGCAGCAGGCCTCCCTTTCCTTTTTACTCTATTCGGGCTACAAGCCTATTGGATGGTACCACCTACACCCAGGCTGAAGCTTTTGTCTTCAGTAAATCCATTCAGCAACACCCAGAAAAATGCTAATCAATTAGTGGACTAATCCAGTACCACATACCCTTAGTCTCAGTATTACACACCCATGATCCAGCCACCTCCCAAAAGCTATGTCTATGAGTGCATGAGCTTTTGGAGGGACATCTAGTTATAAGCCACAACAATGAAAAATATTAAATATTCTTTTGAGATATGACAAATATGGTTGGAATAGAGCTGTGAAGCTGGAAATTGGGAGACATGGAAAATACGGATATGTGGATATGTTTTCACATGGAGCTTCAGAGTTTGGCAACAATTTCCACTAGAAGAAAGATAGTCCCAGTCTCTGAAGCATTTTTTACTTTTATTAATTCTAAATTTGTATTTATTGTTCCAGGAAGAGGAAAAGGAAGAAGAGGAGGAGGAAGAAGAAGAAGACATTGACCACTTGGTGAAGTTGCATCGCCAGAAACTAGCCAGAAACAGCATGCAAAGTGGCTCCTCCATGGTAAGTTATATTAGATCTTTGGTTATATGCATATTGCAGTACCAAAAAAGAAAGAAAAGCCTCTCTAGAGCAGACACAGTAACTGGGAAAGTCATCCTAGTCAGTATTTCCAGGTAAGAAAAATACATTTGTTTGTTCTTATCCTCAATTTAGTTTATAGAAGCTTAGTGTATACATCTAGGTGACTTCCTGAGCCTCTTTCCTGGATATTCTTACATTAGGTAATGGGACTAGGGACATTCTTCATCAGAGCTTCATGAACAGTAGCACTCCCTTTAAGAGGTACCCAACTAAGAAAGATCAGACTTTTTCATCATGGCCCACTCCAGATTCTCACATTAAAGGGAAGTGTCATGAGAAGGGCTCTGGCAAGGTTAGTTGGCATCAAAGTATGATTAAGGATTATCAGTACCAATCAGGATCATGAAATTAAAGTGACATTTCAGAATCAGGGCCTAGTTCTATCATAACTATAAAGGTTGATATTTAAGGGAGACAAGAACAAGGCTGATTAGAATTTTATATTCACACACAAGAAGATAATATTGGGCTCAGACAGTTGATCATTACCAGAGAGGAAGTATGCCTTTTTACCGCCCCCTCCATTTTGGCTCAACCTCTTTTCTTTATAGGTCTTGATAAAGTAGGTAGATAATTATGGTGCCTTATTTGAATTAATAACTAACCCCATTTAGCGAATGTTTAAACACATATACCACATACCATAAATGGATTTAGATGCACCTTACCTCTACTTCTTATCCTCCTTGTGGAGCAAGTGAAAATTAACAATAATATATAAAAGGAGGGGGAAAAGAGAAGCTAGAAGCCTATGTGATCCATGAACTGGTTTACTAATCTAAACAATTGTGAGTGTGTTACTAGCCCTGACTTATCCACTGGGTAATGACTATTGGCAGTACTGTATCCTTGCAGGTACTTCTGAAATTTTGTTTTGTTTGGTAACTGTGGGTTTATCATGAGAGATGATATGAGCCTTGTGAGTGGTGGATATGCTTTCCTCAGATGTTTGTTGGGTGCTTTATCTTCAGAGTACCATTGGCAGCATAATGAGCATCTATAGTGAAGCTGGTGATTTTGGAAACATCTTTGTGACTGGCAAGATTGCCTTTTCCCTGAATTTTGAGCAGCAAACACAGACTCTGGTCATCCATGTGAAGGAGTGCCACCAACTGGCCTATGCAGATGAAGCCAAGAAGCGCTCTAACCCGTGAGTGCTTTTGGGACTTAACTAATGCCCTGAGATAAGAGACCAGGCTCTCTGATCGAAATCTGTCTGAGCAGTTTTGAACTGAGCTTATCACTTCCTGGAGTGGGGGTGGGGTTAAAAAAAAGGTCTCAGGACTGAGAAAAAAATAAGAATGGCATATCTCAGAAGACTTGATATGGCATTTATGACATTGCATTTCATCGTGGAATATTTATATGCCAAGCGGGGAAGTGAAGGAGATTAAGAAAGGATAGCGAGTTTTTCAGTATTGTTTTTTGGTTTCTAGGTATGTGAAGACTTATCTCCTGCCTGATAAGTCCCGCCAAGGTAAAAGAAAAACCAGCATCAAACGGGACACTGTCAATCCACTATATGATGAAATCCTCAGAGTAAGTGTCTTGTTTCAGAAGGCAGAAGAACCTGATCTGTCTTGTGCCCTAAGTTATCACTATTCCTCTGTAATGTAACTGATTGACATGAGTTTCAGGAGGCAATGTTTGTGTCTGAGGAGTCACTCTTGGCATCTTTTCACATCCTAACTTCCTAGAAAAGTGAATGAAGGTGATCTGGATTTCTTGAATTATTGTGAAGTTGGAGATTCATGTGGGCATAAATATCATTTTAAAAAGTCATTTGCGATAAAGCATCTTCTTGGTAATTACTTATGGATGTTCCAGTATCCTCTCACCCACTCAAGAAGAAAAACGCACCCTAATTTTCTAGGTCTTCTTCTGAACTGTGGTAGGTTTTGTGAAATGAGGTAGGTTGAGGCTTTGAGTGAGGAAACTCAGGGTGTTGTAAGGACTAAAATAATTTGATATTCAGGACTCTGGGTTTTGGATGTGAATTGCCTAGGGTTTAGAAGAATCTTTCTTGAGGAATTAACTGATCATCATGGGCTTCTTTATCTTCACAGTACGAAATTCCAGAATCGCTTCTGGCCCAGAGGACCTTGCAGTTTTCAGTGTGGCACCATGGTCGTTTTGGCAGAAACACTTTCCTTGGAGAGGCAGAGGTCCATATGGATTCCTGGAAGCTTGATAAGAAGCTGGATCATTGCCTCCCTTTACATGGAAAGGTAGTCTGCTTTAATAACTCATTCCACCACTTGGCTTGAATTGTCTGCAGTGGCCTCTTCTGATCTATAGTGGTAGTGGCTTTGAATGTAGTCCTTGGTAGAGTTCTAGTGCACCCTGCTGGCTTTTCTGAGTTTGACAACAATTTCAGAGGCTCATGTTAAGTGTGAACTATCCCTTTTATGCAAACAATGCAAAGTATGAAGTCATAGTTTTTCATAGAGAAGTCTTTCATATGTGTGCCAAACTGTCCCTCCTAACCTTCCAGAGTCTGGGTGTATCCTGACGTCCTAACTTATACTCCTCGAAGCTAAACTTCTGGGTGTGTCCCAATCTGTATCCCTTTACCAAGCTAACCTCGCTAAGCAAGTAAAGCAATTCATGACTCTTCAGTGGCTGTACTCTTATGTAGGCTAGGGAAAATATTGCATTGGAAATGGCACCTCAAGTGATTGTGTAGCACAATCATTCCTGGAATCTGAGTGCAGAGCAGGGTTGGAATCTTGATTCTGTTACTTGCAGGTGTTCTATGAATCACCTAGTTTATAAAGTAACTTAGGGACATCATCTAACTTTTGTAGGCCTCAGTTCTGTATAAAGTGGAAATAATAATATTCCTCTTTCTCAGGATTATATGGAAAGTATCAGTCAGTACCTGACATATAATGGGCATTCAGTAGGTTACTATCATTCTGGTTAAGATGAAATTGCTAAAACAGAGGACTTAGCAACTTCTTGATTATCAGAATTGTAGAAGAATGTTGTCCTCCTTTAAAATCTTAATATGAGAAACTTAAATGTTTAAAATAAAATATAGTACATAGAATATTTATGGAGCGGTAAATAACAAACTAGTAATTGTAATGTACTTTAGAAAATGAGCCTGAGGTGGAAGGAAGATAAATTTTCTCTATATGCCCTTTTAAAAACTTTTACCATGTTAAGAAAATTAAGCATAAAAGGATTTATATGTACATGGTTCCAAATTAAAACAAAATAAAAATATAAAAAATAGGTTTCATTCCTTAGAAATAACTATCATTAACAAGCAGTTAGGTATCCCTATGAAAATTTTGTGTTAAGCAGCACAGATATAGATCTATGGATTTATATTTTTTCCTTTTTATACAAATAGGCTCAAATGAACCTCATTGTTTGTATATATTTTGAACTTTTCATTTAACAGTGTATTTTGGACATCTTTCTATGCCATCACTTACAGATCTGTTTCATTTTAATTGCTGCATACTATTGCATCATGTGGCTGTATTATAATTTATTTACCATTTTCCACCTAATGGGCATTTAAGTTGTTTACAGTTTTGCTCTTAAAATTTTAATATATCTGTGCTCTTTTTGTGAATGTAATTGTCAGACAAATTCCCGATGTTGGAATTGCTCAGTTAAAGGAAGTGTGCTCCCAATAATTGGATAGTGATTGCCCTTCTAAAACAATGACATTAAATTTATCCCTGTAAATGTTAATTAAAAACATGTTATTAGAAATTTAAAATTTCTTAAGCATTTGTCATGTAAGCCCTTTTCTCAGTGGGATACAGTTTATATAATTATATTGGAAATGTTACCGTAAACCATCATGAACTAGCACTTATAAAAATGTCATATATAAAAAGAAGAAACTGTATTAAATAGAGGTATTTGCTCTTTGCAAATATTTTGAGCTATAATGAAAATGTGCTACAGAAATAAATACGTCAGTTTCTAGCTAATACTAAACTCCAATGTTAAAAGGTGCCCTGAAATTTTCAATGTAGAAATTAATAAAATGTGTAGACATTTTATAAACAACAAAAAGATCATTCCCATGTTATATATCTCTTTAACTTAAAATATCCTATGTTTGTTATTTTAGATTTTTTCTTTTTTACTTTTTCTTGTCCCAACAATCTGCTTGATCTCATTCCAATTTCTTTTGCTGGTATCCCCTTCCAAATTCTTTTGCCTCCCGTATACTAAGCTTTGTGTATTCTGGGTATGTGATACATTGATCCAAACCTATGGAGGTTATGTCTTCCTAGCATCAGGATGCTCAGTAGTGAGGTCTTGGTTTAGAGGAGTCCTGATAAACACAGGCAGGTAAAAGGGTACCTTTAGTCTGCACCAGTTCATAGTCCGGAAACCTAAGAATAAAGGAGAATCACACAGAGAGAAGTAAAAGAGTGAGGCATTTCTGCCACTCAGAGTCAAAGATAGGGGACTTGCTACTCTTCTCAAACATTCATTGATTTACTCTTACATTTACTCAGTAAATATTTGTGGAGTACCTACTATGTGCCAGGCACTTTGCTGAGTGTTGGGTGTGCTAGATAAAAAAAAAATAGGTTTGACTCCTGTCCTCCTGCCATTTAGATTCTTGTGGTAGTTAGAACATTAATAAAAAAAATAAATACACATAATTTTAAAAGTTGTGCCATATTCAAATCTGTCAGATGGAGTTCAGTCTAGCCCTCAGATCTTTTCAGTTCATCTTTTTTTTTTTTTTTTTTTTTTTTTTTTTGCGGTACTGGGGATTGAACTCAGGACCTTGCGCTTGCAAGGCAGGTGTGGTGCCACTGAGCTAAATCCCCCTCTCAGTTCATCTTTTAAAAAGCACTTTTTACTTTTGGGTTTCTCATATAAGAGAAATCATGAAATATTAAACCTTCTGTATCTGATGTGTTTCACTTAGTGTTAGCAAAATAAATAACGATAGGAAATAGGGACGTAGACTTTGTGGAGATGGGAAGAGGACCTGGGAATGGGAAGAGGCAAGTAGGTCGGGAGGGGAAGGGGAAGTAGAAATGATTAAGATGCAATATGTATGTTTACCAATTCTCCAAAATACATGTAATTATTATGTGTCACAAACATAAACCAATAAATATATATAGTTAAGAAAACAGGACTTTTTATATTTCAAATCATATAGGTGATATGTTTGTAAAAACAAAACTACAGATGTTAATATAGAGTAAAAAGGGGAAGGAAGTCCTCTCTCCTTTCCCCATTTTGCTCCCCTCCCTAGAGGAAACAAATGTTAAGATTGTTTGAATCCTCCTGGGTTTTTCTATGCAGCGGTGTATAGTGGTTAAAAATAGTAGACTCTGGATCCAGTCTACCTGAATTTGAGTCCCAACTCTGCCAATTATTAGCTGTATGACTTTGGGCAAGGTACTTAACCTCTCTGTTCCTCTTTTCCATAGCCTGTAAAATGGAGATAATAATATGCATTTCATAGGGACTATATTGAGAATTAAAGAAAATGAAAAATTTAAAATACTTATAATGGTGCCTGGAACATAGTAAGTGCTACATAAATGATAATAATAATAATTATTTATATACATATATATTCACATGAATTTATTTTGACATAAGTGAGGGTTTTTTTCCTGCATCTTGCTTTGCTGGCTCAGTAGTATCTTTCCATGTCAGCAGGTACAGATTCACTACATTCTTTTTTCATAGGATAAAAATGAAACTACAGATTAGAATTTATTTTACCCAACAGTTATAAGATAGACTTCTTGTAGGCATGTGATTAATCGATCTTAAAATTCAGTCAAGACCTAAAATGAAAAATCACTTTTTATCTAGGAGCAGTAAAACATATAGCCAAGTTAAGTAGATGCAGCTGGAATCATCCAAGCAGTTCTTGCTTTAGACTGTCAGATTGTCTCAGGAAGCTCACTTGCAAGATGTTATCAAAGAGAGGAAAACTAAGTATTTTCTTTTTTTCAGTGGCACTTTATTTTTCTTCATTTATGTTTGGGCCAACAGAAATGATTGTCAATTTCAAAGCCTATATTCTTTCTGATAGCTGAATGCCATATGCCACATAAAGGCATTAAAATCACTCATTGTACCTTTCTAATATTGATTGATATTTCAATTGTTTCCACTTTTTTTTTATACTATTATTAACAATGCTGGTATCAAGATTCTTCATCATGATATTAGTCTTCTATGAATTTGGTTGGCAGCCTTGCTGGCAGACTTGTGAGAGTATTTGGAATCTAGTAACTGTATCCCCAGAGAGGCACAATAGTGGGTATTGCAGAGCATCTTTGGGGTTCTTCTGCATCTTCTCCTCAAGAAACTGCCTCAGAAGCCTGTGGCTATTATGGCCTAGGGACCCAGGATTGTATTTATAAGAAGGATTCTCATATGCCATGAAGCTGTTCTTGGGGGAAATTTTAGGATCCTCTCAAGGAGAGGTCCCAATATTCTGGGAAGTCTGGCTTGACCTGTTGGGTTTCCCTGTGTTTCAGATCAGTGCTGAGTCCCCGACTGGCTTGCCATCACACAAAGGCGAGTTGGTTGTCTCACTGAAATACATCCCGTCCCCCAAACTTCCTGTTGGAGGCAATTGGAAAAAGAGTGAGTTTTCTTTGGGGCCCTGGCTGTAGCTTGTAGTTTTCTGCACAGGATCTGTGCAAGGCTGTACTGGCACTGTTGGAGAGACCAGACTGAGATGTCCCCTGCATCTTCTAAGGAAGATTCTTTTACAAAGTAAACCATTTCTGCATTTTTTTTCAACTGGAAGGGAATGCCTTAGAGTCGAGATTCCTTTTTTAAAATTATTTTTTAGTCTATTGAACTGCACTGGTTTTGGTTCAGCTGTGGCCAGCTACCAAGAAGGGAAAGAGAAGAGAAATTTTGGGTCTGAAAATGGCTTTTAGAAGGCGTGGTAAAGTGGGAGAGACAGGAAGTGAAGGCTGAGGAAGAGTAATTCAACATATCAAGCACTGTGCTAAGTGATTGTGGGTATGTAGATAAGTAAGACATGATATGTACTCTTCCTTGAAGAGGTGAGGTTAGCAAGAAAGACAGTCATGGGCTAAAGGGGCGTATATACAGGAGTGATAATTTTTGTCTGGTTATATTTAGGAGGGCTTCAAAGAGGAAGTAATATTGAAACTGGACCTTTTGATTTTATCAGGCAGAAAGGATGGAGAATGAGGAGAAAAGAGCATTCCAAAAAGAGGTTGAGTAACATAAGCACAGGTTTTAAGAGGGCCTGGTAAATGTGTGAGGACTGAACCCCTTATATCAGTGGAGTTGATGTTACAGTATGCATTTGTATACCTGAGAGTGGGGCTGAGATTGGAGATGAGGGTGGTGTCTGACTAAAAAGAGCCTTAAATGTAACGAGCTGAACATAATCAATTGGTAAAGGGGAAGCAAAGTTCTTAAAAATATATCTCCAGTAAGATCTAATCTAGAGAATTTGGGGAAATTAACTAGGTCCCTAAGGAGTGTGGGCAGAATGACTATGGACAAGAGGCAAGGATAGAACCATAGGGAGCAGCAACATTTTAAATGATGAAGAGAAGAAGAAATGCCAATGAAGCAGGGAATTATTAGGAGAGAGCTTTAAGAAGAAGGGGGCAAGGATTTTTGACTATTGAAATACTACAGAGAGGTTAGGCCAGACAATGACTGAGAAGACATGGCTCATTGACATTTGATTGAATTTTCAGTGGATTAGTGAAAGCAGAAGCCAGATTTCATTAGAAAACTAGGCTGAGTGAATGAGGCAAAGGTGTAGAGGTGGTGAGTATGGGCTTTTTTCTCCCAGCGTAATTTGTGGTGAAAGAAAGGAGAGACATGGAGAATAGCTTGAAGAAGAGATTAGGTTGCAGGGGATTTAGCTCAGTGGTTCTGCCGCCTGCCTTGCAAGCGGGAGGTCCTGAGTTCGATCCCCGGCACCAAAACAAAACAAAACAAAAAGAGATTAGGTTGACGGGAAGTTTTTTTTTTAATGGATTAAAAAAAGGGATGAGTTTAGCATAAATTTAGACTGAGGGGAGAGGGTCAGTGGAGAAAGAGATATTAAAGTGGGAGATGGAGGTTTAAATTACTGCTGCCTGATTAGTACTGTGAAGTGAGGGTGAGGTCAAAAACTAAAGTGGAAGAATTTCTTCTTTTCAAAAAGTCATTCAGCGAACATTAGACAACTTTATTCTTCTAAGCTTCAATTTTCTCATCTATAAAATGATGGTGTCTCATCTATAAAATTATAGTATATATCTCATAAGGATTGTTTTGAGAATTAAATGCTTAAGGTTGTATCTAGTACTTAGCCAGTTTTCAGTAAGCATTTATTGGTCTTGGAGTTGGTTACTGCTGGGCACTATGCTAGGTACTGAGGACCCAAGTCAGGCATAGCTCTGTTGTGGAGCTTGCTGCCTGCAGGAGCGAAGAAAGGAAGTGATATGCATATAAAGCTGAAACTCAATCTAGAGATACAAGGGCTCACTTGCTATGGCTGCCATCCTTTACAGGCAAAGGTATGGAAGGAGGAGAGCTCCAGGTATGGATCAAAGAAGCCAAGAACCTGACAGCTGCCAAATCAGGAGGAACTTCAGACAGCTTTGTCAAGGGGTGAGTCCCTGGACCAGTAGCAAACTAACCAGTTTCAGGACAAAAGCATTAGCAGAGGAACCAAATTTAACCTTTCTCTATGGATACTATCCTTGGGTGTCCTACTGCCACCCATGACTAGCTTTGTTCCTAAAATTAGGTAATGGTGAAAGCTCTACTACTTCCTTTTTACTGGTCCAAGCTCAGTTTGGACTAGGCTGTAGTGCTAATATCCAAAGGAAAGAGTAGTAAAAGACAGGTTCTGACTTTGCTCTAACTCATACTCAATCCTGGGGAAAATTGGTGTTCCCTATCTAGATATGGGGACTCCTGGCTTTGTTTCTCATATTTTTTAAGCAATGCTAGCTGTCCCCAATTATACATCACTAGCCGTTTTAGGCATTCTAGAAAACCATGTTTAGCTAAGCCTATAGATATTACTATTGGTTTTATTTACCTTGCATTGTAGGAGAAATGGAACAAAATATTTAACATGCATTTTTGGTGGAGCATAGACAACAACCTAATAATATATTCATTTTCTCTCAGATTAAAGGAATTGAATCAAGTGAATGATATAGTGGATATAGTAGGAAGTCTGCTGCAGCAGATACAAAGGAGGGGTGTGTGCACTTGGATATGGGTGTTGACTCACCTTCTGGAGTAGGCGTGTGGTAAGGGAAAGGGGAATTTAGACAGATTTTGCCAGCTTTGAGTAGGCATTGATTATTCCCTACCTTCTGCTAGATACCTCCTTCCTATGAGAAACAAGGCCAGTAAGCGTAAAACTCCTGTGATGAAGAAGACCCTGAATCCCCATTACAACCACACATTTGTGTATAGTGGCATGAGACTGGAAGATCTACAGCACATGTGCCTGGAACTCACTGTGTGGGATCGGGAGCCCCTGACGAGCAATGACTTCCTAGGAGGGGTCAGGCTGGGTGTTGGCTCTGGTGAGTCCCCAACCTTCCCTTGTTTTAAAGGCCTCTTGTCTATTTCATTACCAGTACCTCCCATCCTGACACACAGTTCCTCTATGATAGCAGTTGTCTTCTTTCCTTTCAGGTAACATTCAGCAAATATTTATTGAGTGCCTGCTATGTGCCAGGCCAAAGAGAAGGCTGAGTTCATATACTGTTATATGTACAGATAAATGTGATCCTGATAGAATATATATATATATATATATATATATATATATATATATATATTCTTCTTCTATCCTGTTGTAATGAAAGAAAGATCTGCTACAAAGGCCAACTTCTCTCTCCAAGTGTTCTAGACTGCCCCTTCCTCTTTTCAATGATCTCACTTCTATAGTCTCTATCCTCTCATATGATCAGTTTCATTCTCCCTACCTACTGGATGTGAACCTTGATGTGCTCCATTATTTACAATCTTATTAAGCAAAAGGAAACCTTTCCTTGATTACACCCTCTCTAATTTCTTAAAAAGAAAAGTTTCCACTTCCTCACCTCTCCTTTAGCTCTCAACCTACTGTGATCTTGGTTCTATCGCACCACTCTGTTGAGCAATTACTCATGTCCAAATGTTGTTTTCTCATACTAGAAGTTTCAGTACTATTTAACGTAGAAGATCACTCCTCTTTTCTTGATACACTTCTGCTAACATTATACTCATTGATTTCCTTTGAATCCACTGCTCACTGTTTCTCAGGGTTTTTTTTTGTGGATTCTTCATTCTATACTCAAACTGTAAATATCGGTACTTCTCTGAGCTTAGTTTTGGGTTCTCTTCTTTTCTTTCTCCATAGTGTCTGCATTTCCATGGCCTTAAATGGTACTTGCATATTAATAACAAAAAAACCATCTAGAGTGATGTTTTTTCACATGTAAGCTAATACCATTCAGTGGCTTACTAACATACTTAGAAAACTGTATGAAGTTTTTACCAAGCCTACAGGCTCCCGTGTAATTTAGACCCTCTGTTCATTTCCTTCCTGTATTACTCTCCTGCTTGCTCACTATGGTGTAACCACAATAACCTTAGTTCTTCTCTCTAAATATACCAAGCTCATTCCCACTTCAGAACCTTTACAATTACTATTCTCTCTGTCTTGAAAGACTAGTTTTCCCTCATCCTTTAGGTCTTTATTCATATGTTTCTTTCTCAGAGTTCCTCAGACCATCCTATCTATAATAGGTCCCCATCCAGGCACTGCAATTTACTCTGTTTATTTCTTAACATTGATCTCACTAGCTGATATGCTCTTGTTAGTTTTCTTATTATATTTTCTGTTTTTCCTATTTACATATAAGCTGCCTGAAGGGACTTTTTCTGTTTTGTTCATCAAGGTATCCCTAGAGCTTAGAAGAGTACCTGGCACATAATAAACAGTAAATGTTTGTTGAAAGAATGAATACGTATATAAGAGAGTAGGAATGATCCCACAGAATCATAACTTCAGGCCTGGAGTCTACAGCTAGAGAAAATGGTGTTCATCCAATTTTTAAACATTTTAAATCAAGTTGGCAATAACAGAATAGCAGTAGCTCTGGCATGAAGTATCAGACATCAGAACTTTTTAATATCTTCTGTATAAGAAGTCTGGAGTGACTGTGTGCCATTTGGAGTTCCATTTCATCAGCTCAGAGTCCCTTATTAGCCTCAGGAGCACAGAAATATCTGTGCAAGATTAACAGGGAGCTCTTCACAGACTGCTGTCCCCATCAGCTAATTTTCACAGCACAGTCTTTAATGGGGCAGATACCCTTGCTGTATCGCCCCTTCCCTGCTGGGATGAGGAACTGGGACCCTCTTCAGCCTCCTCTGGTGTTTTTCCTCAGGGATCAGTAATGGGGAATTAGTGGACTGGATGGACTCAACTGGGGAGGAAGTGAGCCTATGGCAGAAGATGCGACAGTACCCAGGGTCTTGGGCAGAAGGGACTCTGCAACTCCGTTCCTCGATGGCCAAGCAGAAACTGGGTTTATGAGTCCCTGTCATCCTCTACAGCTCCAGACCTGGCCAGAGCAAGTCAGAGGAAGTGAAGAAACCAAGAGCAAAGTTTTCTAATTTAATGTGTGTGTTGGGTTTTTGTTTACAAGCATGTATTTCTGCAAGTCTTAGTCTGCTAGCTAGAGAGATGCAGACATGTTCCTCTTTATAGAACAGGTTGAAGAATAAAGGTCTCTTGAAAATGTTTCTACTTGTGCATAGTCTAGTATATCATCAGAATCCATTCATTTTTGTATCTGTATGAAATCTAACTTTAAAAAGTCTTTAAAAACAATATTCTAGCTTCTGTCTTGCTAACCCGGGAAGCCCTGGCTACCTTTGGTGTTAGTTTCAGTCTGTGGTTTAAAGATGTACCTGATCTGATACCAAGGCTCTGGGAAGTAGGGTTGGGTTACTAAAGACAGAGGAATTGGGAGAGAGGTAAGTATATCTTCTTCTTCTTCCTCTCCAATTTATATTTTTAACTTATCTTCTATCTTGGAAAATTCCTGAAACCTGGCTTTTCACTTTTCTTTTTTAAAGCAATTTCTACCTTGCTTGAGTGTAATGGTTTTCTTTGAAATGCTAAGAAAATTCTTCAGTTCCTTTCAGTTTTAGACACCTTTACTAGCCCTTTAGGGAACCCTTATAACGGAGTCACTTTAGAAAAGCACTTTAATTGAATCATGATCTGTTCGCTGGGTGATGAACATGCCCAGTGAGACTTTTTGGCTAATCTGAGAGGATGTGAGTGACAGAGTAAAGTTTCTCACAGCCATGCTGAATTCTCTGCATTTTAAACAGATACAGCAGTTGTAGGGGGAGAGAAGTCCTCATTTCTCTAAAGCAAGACAAGGCATCTACACTTTCATACCACATGTTTCTCAGTGTTTGTGTCTGCATGGCGTTGCCACACAGAATGTGGTCTGCATACCTCTGTGTCAGCCAGAACAACCAAGGATTGTCTAAATTGTTAGTGTTTCCCCAGGCTGGGGACCATTAGTGCTCCAAGAGAACATGAACAGAGAATCTTTCAATTATTTACACTTCCTACCTGATGTGGTCTCGGTTCCCATTTTATCTGTTTTCTAAATTTGACCTACATATAACATGGGTGTTGTGTAGCATAGCTTTTCAAAGAGAGTTCTGGTGAGCTAACTTTTATTTCCTGCTATTCATTCTTCCAGTCTTGACCTTTTCATTCTTACAAGTGTGTCTGTACAAAGTTGTGTGTGGAAGGAGTGTATATCAGAGGAGAAATCCTTTTTAGTAGAGCCAGCTGCTAGCTGACTTTCCTGTAAAACCATTGGACTGAGGGTAGCTGTTAGTGGCTTCTCTTGTATGTGTGGACTCAGTGGAGGAATGCTGTTAAAATATTTATTTGGTGTGGATTGATACTGCAATGGAAAGTATTACTTGGGATTCTGAGCTGTTGCTCTATTGTTTTCCACTTCCTAACATGAATGTGTGCTTCAATAAAGCTTTTTCACTTGTCAAATGTTTGCATTTGTTCATTCCATAGATGCTTTTGTCTCTAATGTCCTGATTTACTGCTGTTCCGTTAACATGTGGCTTGAAGGGTAACAGCCAGAGTGATAAATGCCCTTTCCTAACCATCCTGTGGTGATGTGAAGAAAAATTTTCCTTTCTCACATTGTTCCTTTATACTTTTCTGAGCCTGGTCCTTTGTCCTGTATGCTTCAAGTCTAAGGAGAGAAGTGAGATCTCATGTTTAAAGTGGCATCACTTTTCTCTCCCAAGTACAGGAGAAGTCTGCTTTTAAGTTTGTAGACCCTCCCTTGCTGGAAGGAGGAGACCCATGTTCACAAAGAAGGTAAGGGAAGATACTTCCTACTGTAAGCACTTCCTTCTGGATTCTTTGATTTCCCTGGAAAGTGGAGACTTTTTTCTCTACTTCTACCATTTTTTAGCATTGAGAGATAAATAATGCAGATGCTAAGTAAGCTCTCTCTGAAATAGGGCTCTGGGTTTCTAGATAGATCCCCAAAGATTCGTGAGCTCTTGTAAAAAAATGACAATAATATATGCTAAATGCCTTTTGTGTACAAGGCTTTATATTTTATTTCCATAATCTCTTTAACTACCTTATGAAGTAGGAAATCTTTCCTTCTTACAGGTGAAGAGACTCAATCCCACTATCACACAACAGAATTGGTATTTGAATCAAGGTCTGATTCTACTGAATCATGCTGCTTCCTATAAGAATGATATGTGCCTTATGGGCAAAGAGTCAAAGGAAGGGGTGACTAATATCTTCCAGAATATCTTAGAGAAATGGGTTTAATTTACCAAGTAAGATAATCAAAATGCTTTGGTTAATAGTCATCAAGCTTAGTGACTGTATTGCCTGTTTGTGGTGGGGGCGGGGTAGAAGAAGGCATAAGAAAGAGGGGGAGGAAGGAATAGATAGAGAAAAGTGAAGGGAGGGGGAAGGAGGAAGACAGGGAAGAGAGGCAAAGAGAGAGAGTTGGTGCCAGAGGGGTTCAGAAAGAGAGGAATAGAGATATTTATAGAGCTAGGGTCATGCTAGCCCTTATGGGTCTGGCTATGTGCCCAATTCTGTCTTTTCCTCCTTTAGGAGTTGGGATTTTTTGAGTCATAATTTACAAAGGAGGCTACAGCAAAACTTAAATAGAGCAAAATTGACTTGCATAGACTACTTAAAATGAGACAAGACAAGAGCTTCTCACTTGCCTTAAAGTTTAGAAGCATGTATATGGAAGAATCAGGCCCAGGTTGGAAACTTTGTCCAGGGAGAAGTAGGCCCTTTCTGTTATTGCTTGGGCCTTTGGCCTGCTACTACTTGAAGGGTTAATGATAAAGAAAAGGAAGGGCATTTATCTTTCTCAATATGTAATCTCTACCTTTGGAACCACAAATTTTATCTGACCAAAAATTTCCTACATGAACTCATTGTGTTTTGCCTTCTGTTCATAACTTGCCTCTGGCCTTTCAAATCTCCTATATTTCTCTGGAGGGAAGGGACCTTGATCCTTCAAGTTAAGTCATTTCTTCCATGTCCCATTTCAGCCATCAACTGCCTTTTTATTTTGCATTTAAAAATGAGATTTCCCCTAAAACTCCAGTGGAAGTAGCTTTTTTTGACTCACTGTTACCCCCATAGCCCTGGGCTTCTAATTTTTATCCCATCACACTGCTTTAAATGAATTTTCCTGGGCCAAGAGCCTATCATTTTCCTTTTTCCTACTGGAACCACTCTAAGTCTTGAATCTCAGTAGGATAACCAAAGATGGAAACCTTCTCCTTTGTTAGAGCTTTCAACTGTCTTTAGATGGGAAGTAGGAAGAGAAGCAGAGGCAGGATGGCATAATGTCTAAGAACATTGACTCCCAAGTCAGTCTGCTGATGCTTAAATCCTGACTCTGCCACCTATTAGCTGTCTGATCTTCAGCAGACTGCCTTACCTCACTGAGCTTCAATTCTCTCATCTGCAAAAAAAAAAAAGCTAATAATAGTATCTAACTTTTAGGGTTCTGGTGAAGACTTCAGAGTCAATAGTGTGTTTAGAATAGCACCTTACACATAGTAAGTGCTCAAGCATTATTAGTTCTGCCCCCCACCCCCAGCCTGCTTCCTCCCTGCTGTAGTTTGCCATTGGTGACCCACTGGGTAAAGCAAAAGGCTGCTGAGTCTTAACTATGGCTCTGAATTCCATGAGTGTTGCAGGTGTTTAGCAGCAAGGTGAGGAAAACATTTTTCTTCCAAACACTGACACTCCATTGAGTTGGACTGAAATTTGAGGTGCTGAAGCTCACAGGCTGGGGGGACGCGACTGCGTTATCTACCATTTGTTCTGGGGACCAGAGGCCTCAGTAGGCAAAGATTCTTGCCCATTGAGCCGGGTGGAGGAGCCACAAAACAGAAGAGCCACAAAACACAAGATTCTGCTCTGATTAGAATTTTCTTTGCCAACTCCCTCCCATTGCAATATTTTCCTAACTCTTGATGAAGGAATGGTTCAAGCAACATTTTTAGCCCATTGTCCTAGAAGATGAAATGGCAAACAGGTTCAAGAGTGTTTTGTAAATCCCTGCCTCTGATATAGTTAACCTGTAAACTAAACTTGATAGTGTCTTGTTTGTTTGTTGTGATGGTGCTGCCCTCTGGTGTCACCTCTGGGTAGAGCAACCATTTAAAACAGCCAGTAAATAAGTGAATGAATTTAAGATTTACTTATCTGAAAGACTTTGGAGAGCTGGGCAAAGTCCCGAGTTATGAAAGGAAGACCTTCTACCTCCAACCCACTACCCACCACCCAGTTCAATCTCTACCTAGCTTCTGCTCCCTGGAGGAACAGGGAAAGCTATTAAACAGCCGAAAATGGTACCTAAAAATATTCCAAGGATTGATAGACCTTGCCCACTTCGGAGTACGGTCTCCAGAATTGTGGGAAAACATTTTCTCCTTTTATTAGGCCTCAGTTTTGGCCAACTAGGGAAGCTTTTCCTTTGACCTCAACCATTCCTTAGCTCAAGTTCACTCGCACATATCCCTTTGCTCCCTGCGCTGGATCATCTCCTGGTTGCTGAGCAGATAGTCATCAATGAATGTGAAGATTTCCTCAGGGGTGACAGGTTCCATGTAGCGTTCCCGGTCAATACCCTGCTTGTCAATCAGTACCATGTTGAAGTAGGAGCGAGAAAGGTGTTGGAATTGCCTAGAGAGAGCAGCCCAAGGAAGTATGAGACATTATTTCAGCATTTGTCCTCTGACTTTTCACAGTTCAACTGATAGACTAATTCTGTCCCCATCCTGTCCCTTGTCCTCATCCCCTCCACTACTTATCTCAAGTCTCTTTGCTTTTTTTTTGCTCAGACCCTAATCTCCTGCCTCCATGTGTCTAGCTCTGCTAAGCTTTCCTTTCCTCACCCAAGCTGAGGCAGCTTTGTTATAACCAGGTTGTGCTTCTGTTGTAGGCCCCTTTAAGCAGGGCTACTACATAGCAATATGAACATCATACACAGCAGCCCTGAGGTTGATAAATACCACTTGGTTAACTCTTTGATCTGTAGCTGCAAGTCTTTGGTATCTTTCCTCTGAGTGTTTTCTAGTCTAATAGAGACTGAATCTCTCTGTCATCACTGAGACGGAGTCCTAAAGGCAAGTATTGTTTCTAGAACAGAGGGCACTGATATATTTATTGGTCCTGAGTATATGTGGAAGTACTACAAGACCAATAATGGACAGATATTGAGAAAAACCTATTTCTACCACATATCATTTAAAGTCTTCTCTTCCCCCAGGAGCTGATGTATATGAATCAGATTTTAGTGCCTAAAAATTCCTTGTGCTTCTTTGGAGATTAAAGGTTAAAAGACGTGGCCATGAGTTAACAGGGTCTTGTTGCTTATCTAAGTCAAGTTTGGATCTAGTTGTTTCAGCCGTGGATGTGTTTCAAAGTCACTATAGGTGCCTTTATGAAAATACATCTAGGGTGAGGTCTGGTAATCTGTATTTTGAGCCCTCATTTGATTCTCTTGTCCTGCAAGAATTAAGAATTAACTCTCTTAGGCCAGGGATTTAGCTCAGTGACACCATGCCTGCCTCATAAGCACAAAGTCCTGAGTTCGATCCCCGGTACCAAAAAAAAAAAAAAAAAAGAATTAACTCTCTTGTCTTACTTAGTGTTTCCGTAAGAGTTGAAACAGAAGAAGTGCCTCAAGAAACTAGTGTCTGCTGTTCTGCTACCTACTGCCTTGTCACCTGCTGCATTGCCAGTATCCTGCCTATGGTTTCTGCCCACCCCTGCCCTGCAGCCTCCCACCCTAAACCTGAGTTCCTCGATGATGCTGGATGACAGCTGTTGCTCCCGGATACGCCCCACATCCTGAGGCGGCTGCCCCACCAGCTCGATAATGGTCACATGCCGCAGGTCTAGTCCACAGGTGGATTGCTGGGGAGTGGAGGAGAGAGAACATTTAATGGAACTGACCTTTGCACTTAGACCTAAAGCTGCTTGTCTTATTCCTCCTGGTACCACATGAAGAAGTGTGGGAGGGGAGGGACTTCTTCAATAAATATACAATCACAGGATCACAATGAGTACAATTTGAGGTCTACACAACCTTTCCCCTCTATCATTCTTGAAGCACTTGCTCCAAAAGTGTTTCTTTAACTCTCCTGAAGGGCATGAAACCTCTTACCGAATGTGGAGTAGAAAAGAGAAACATAATTACTAAACTGCAGGACCATAATCATTGCTTAGCTTTCCACAGGTTTTAAAGTACGTAAGTTTTTTTTTTTATTCGTTAAGTTTATTGGTACATTTTAGCTATACAATACGATGACATTCATCATTGGAGATTTGTACCTTTACATGATATATCTTGGTTCTTATTTTTTCCCATTCCCCTGCCCTCACTTCACCCCCTCCACCCTTCCCTATTTACAAAGACTTTGTTTCCATTTTTTCCTTTTCTCATATTTTTCCTTTCCCTTCTTTTCTTTCCCCTACCCTTTCCAGTTCCCCTTCCCCTTTAGACCTTTTCTTCCTATTTCACATTATCTATTATAAATTTTAAACTATATAAGTTTTTAATGGACAGCTATCATGAGATGATAATGGCTAATGTTTCTTGTTTATTTATACATACTAATTCTTCCTAGGAATAATTTAATTTATTCAATGTAACAAGGCTAAAAAGGTAGGTAGTATTGTTCTTACTCTGTAGGGGAGAAAGTAAGGCCCAAATTTGTATGGCAATAATATGGTAAGCCCAGACTCAAACTGAGGCCTGATGTAGCCTGCCTGAATGTGTGTCCTTTACCACTAGGCTACATCTCCAGGGCCTTCTCTCAGTCCTAGGATTTCTTCAAAATAGCACCCAGTGCTCTTTTCATTACCCTTTCTTGCCTTCCTTGTACCGGGAAGCACACCCTATAACACTGCCCTCTCTGGCTCTTTGTCCTGCAGGATCTCATACTTGCCATTTGTCAAGGTGAGGTGTAAAGAGTCATTTCCTGGTACCTCATTCTTGTTTCATCTGTGGTCTTCTTCTCTAGTCTTGACCCTCAGAATTACTGTCCTTGTTGTCAGGTTCCTGTTCTTTCTCTTGCTTCCTATTAATTTGAGCTGTTGCATTTGCCTGATTTATCTGCAAAAAGGAACAAGGTCCTTTTTGGTTTAAACCCCTAGGTTCATACTTTTGGTGAAACTGCTGCCATCATAGGCCATATTGGCTTGGCAACTTGTATGATTCAGCCTTTAAAAGCCCCCTAAGTAGCTCTGTCTTTTACCTATTTATCCAGCCCCTTGCAGCTCCCCAATGCTGCTTCTCTCTGTGCTGTCAATACAGCTCGAATTCTTTTTAGTAACATAGTTTATTCTTTTTATAAATCCCTATGGTCATATCTATTCTGTTCTACCTACTTCTCCCTTACTCACAAGGGAGCTTTGGCTAGGTATCTGTTAGTATATTAAAAGTCACCATCCAACTTCTTCATTTTACTTTGGAATATCACAGTACTTTTCCTACTAGTAATGGTTGAGCACACAAATCTTGGAGCCAGGGTGCTTGGGTTCAGTCCCAGGTCTAACATTTTCTATCTAGTGACCTTGAGAAAAATCACTTAATCTGTCTATGCCTCAGTTTTCTCCCCTATTCAGTGGGGATTATAATAATGCCTACCTCATAAGGGCTATTGTGAGAATTAGTTGAGTATTAGTAGGTCAGTCCCTGGTACTTACACAGCACTTACTATATGTGCTTGTTAGTACTAATGTTTCTTGAAAACACAAATGGAGTTAATTGCTGGCACTAATGTTTGATCATAGCTATCTTACAAGTCCCTCCAGAATGCTTTGACACAGTCCCTTACCAACTTCTACCCAGTCCCCTACAAGTGACATCTACCATTCCTGTGGCCTTACTGACTTTTCAGTAAAAACACAGTACTTTTGAATAATGTGCTCACTGAATCTATGGTAAAACTGTTCAAAAGCCACCAAAAAAAGTTTGAAAAAGCAGAGTTTATGCTCCAGATAGCAATTAATTCATTTGGAAAAGGTAAGGGGGGTAATGTAAAAGAGTTAAGCCTTCATTAGGGTAGTAGGTCTTACCTGCAGCATAGAGATCTGCATTTTATAATATCGGTTGGAAGGATCAGGAGCTGAGATGATGATGAGTCGTTGTTTTTCATAGAATTGATCCAGGAGGCCAGCAGCTGAATTGACATTAACATTAATCTTCATAGCTAAGGTAGAAGCAGATAGCTAGTCAGAGTATGCACTTCTTCGCCCTGCATGGGTAACCCTAACATCTTGAGTTGTTCCAGTCTTTTGGGGTAACCCTTTAGTTATTTCTCCCTTCCCTGGGGAAAAAATCCTGAAAAAACCCCAGATGACTTTAAACCCTTCTTCTTGAAGTAGGAATAGTCTATAGGGGAATGTTGGCCCTTAAAATACATATATCTCAGAATTCCCCATTCCTCATCATATGCATTTTTATTGGAATCCTTTGCCATAGGAATATCCTCCAAAGTAACTTTGATCAACATGTCCATGCTCCCCATTTCCTGGTTTCACTCACAAGTACAGATAGGTGGTGCTCCTGACCACTGGCGACTGGACTGGCAGACCCGGGAGGGAGTTCCTTGTCGCTCATAACCACCATCACAGTGGTATTCACAGGTGGCACCATAGTTGTTGCTTGCTGAGGTGCAGGTGAGGTAACCATGCTGTGGTGGTTTCAGAATTGGACAGCGTCTCACTATGAGGGAGGAGCTCAAGTTAGGGTGAATAGTGTCTCTTGTAGGTAGGAAAGGCTAAGAAAGTGCCCACTTGATGCTTTCTAAAGCAGGAGACTTGGGATGATCAGAATGAAGGGCTTTTCTGTGTTTCCAATGGCCAGATAGGGAGCCAGATTTTTTTCTTAAAAAATTAAATATGAAATGTAGACAGAGGCTCACAAAGTCTGGAAACACAAGTGAGTATACATAATATCATCAAAAGACTATTGATTTATAAAAGAAAATATTGTTATCTATGTTTACAGACTTTATGGATATGCCATGTAAAGATGACCAAATTGTAGAATTACTTTTATTGACAGAAATAAGTCAGAGGATTCTTAATGACTGGGAAGGTTTAAGTAAATCATGATATATTCTTAGAGTATAATGTTATGTTGTCATTGAAAATATTTCTGAAGAATTTTTAAGGAATATGGGAAAATTGCTTGTGATAGAATGAAAAGTGAAAAAGAGTGTTGTATGATTGGTTATACAGTATAATCTCAATGTTTTTTAAAGTATGTATAGAGAACAGACTGATAGAAAAATACCAAAAGGTTAACAGCAACTGCCTCTGAATGATGGGGTAATAGATTTTCCCCTTTTACGTATTTTTTTATTTTTGAAATGTCCAGCAGTGCACAAGAATTATTTTTATAATGAAAAAAAACAAAATCAAACAATGTGATACAAAGCAAAGTGGAAGAATCAGACAGCCAGCACCACCAGGTTCAGGATGAAGATTAATTATATTTGATAATTTTGAAGGCCAAGGAAAAAATGGATACAGAGTATCCTTGTGAATTTTATCTAGAGTTAGAAGAATATGAAAGTCTTGTTGGAGAGTTAAGTTTTCTCTAAGTTGTGTGATCACATGTAATGAGGTTTCCTGAATTAGCCTGTTTGGTAAATTTGAATTTCCCCCTCTCTCCAAGTATAAATGAAGAGTGTTTCAGGCATAAAGAGAAGATCTTTTGGGGCTTTTAGAAGGTCAGAGTAGAGCAGTAATAATGAACAATGTGGAAACTGAAGACTTCTTTCTGACCTTGTACTTTCACAATGAACTTGCAACTGGCCCGGTTGTAGGCTCTGTCATAGGCAGTGTAACGAATCACATGCTCTCCTTCAGGAAATTGAGAACCAGGCTCAGGGCCCCGAAGTGTCACTCTGAATAAGACAGGGTAAAGGAGCTACTGAAGAAAATGATACTTAGAATTGAGATCTAAGGCATATCCATCATCACTGTAGCCTCAGCCTGTGCAGTTTCAGTGTGAGAAGCTGGAGGAACTAGGAGAAGATGCAGGTAGGAATGTGTGGCATATGTTACCGAAGCTCACCTGGTGATGGTACCATCAGCAGAATCTTTCACAAGGGGTGGGTCCCAGTATACTCGAGCAGTCAGTTTTTCTGGCTCTGCCATCTTCTCACGTGAGTGGGGACAATGGATCTTGGGGGGATCAATGTCTGCCATGGTCAAAAAGCAAGTGCTGATTCATGGGTCCCCTGCCTTCCCTAGAGGAAACCCACTGAAGCAACATCACACACCACCCGGTACAAAAAAAAAAAATTCAAAATTTTCAAGGAAACTAGGGGAGAGAGCTTGACTTTAGGGGGAAATAATCATTTCATTAAGCATATGCCCACAGTGCCACACTCACAGTGAACAGGAATGCTTTTTGCAATTAGAATTCCATATCTTTGTGGACATGTTTCTAGGGTGGCTCTTTGCACCAAATCAGTGGGGAGCAACCAGCATTTACCTACACATACAGGCTCGCCTCCACTCCATCGCCCGTCTTCCATGCAGATTCGGCTGCGGTCACCTTCTAAGTGGTAGCCTCTGGAACAGCTGTAGTCACAGCGGGAGTCAAGAAGCACCCCATTTGTGCAAGTGTAGGTGCCGCTAGTGATAAATGGTAGTGCATGGCATCTTATCTCTAAGAGAGAACCAAGTGGCAAACACAGTGGTCTATGGGACCATTTGGAGGTGATGCCTGGGCATCTAGCACAGGAAGAACCATATCAGAGACAGCAGAAAATACAGAAACCTGACCCAAACTGTCCTTATAGTTTTGTCCCTAACTATTTTCCCTAAGTATCCTTTTATTTTTAAAGTGCAGAAACACTGTTGAGAAAGGGAGGGATGTCTCAAAGAAATAAATTACTTGTACGAGCACATGAAGTCCAGAATCAGACTTGAGTATTCATGCCAGCTTCACCTCTTACTTGATCTGTAACTTGAAGAAGTTGCCTCATCTCTGGAGTCTCATTATTTTCATCAGTAAAATGTAGATAGCTCACAAGATTGTTGTACAGACTAAAGAGACAATACATATAAACCTTTGGGCTCATTTAGAGCCCCAGGGGTTGTTAGCTTTTGTCTCTTTTTCCTCAAATGCTATATGCCCTTGAGCATGTTTAAGGCTTGGTTTTGAGTATCATTTTGGTGCTTGCAAAGACGTTTCTTGACTGAGACTTACTTACATCCCAGAGTAGGCTAGCTTTCTATCTGGGTGACAGTGCAAGTCCAGGCCAGTGCCTTGGGGTCCAACTGTTGTGGTATTTGATAAAGGAAGAATTATGTGCTTTAGACATCACATCTGCCAGAGACTGCTAACATGAAGTAATTGTGAGCCTGTGCATGCCAGAGTTTTGTTTCAGATATCTGATACTTGAAAGAAGTAAGACCATATATTCCTTTAGATTATCGAAATTCTAATCCTAGAAGTTCAACTGTTGGATACTTGAATAAAGATTTTACATAAACTATGTTCATTTTGCTTCTTGGTCAAACCAGACTTGAAGATTATTGTCTTTCCTATTTCCCAGTATCTGTTTTGTAAAGACCTATGCAAAAACAACCACCTTATAATCAGATCCAAATAAAAGGTTTGCCTCATCAGATGAATTTGTTTGCTTAGTATTATATGACAGTGAAGATAAAGATCCAAAGCATTTGCTCTTTTGTCTCTTATGAGGAAGGTAGGTCAAAGGTAGTTAGTACTCAAATATAATAATCCACTCATTCTAGGCACCTGGGAAAATATGTCTCTATTCTTTTAACTGTTTTTTTGTTTATTTATAAATTATAGCCTTATATATTTCAATTTCATCCAGCCAATTCAAATTCATTTTGGAAAGTATGGGTCTTAAGTCCTAAAAGAACTTAATTACAGTCACCTAGAAGGTTGTTGTGACTTCCTTCTTTCTAGCTGTCAGGCATCTCCTCTCCTCTGTAACATCTTCTCTGACCAACCTTGTTTCTCCCTGAATGCTCAGCCTTTCTATGTCTAGGTACATGACATGTGGACACATTTGGCTTTATGTCCCATTTGTCTATAAACAGCCTGAACGTAGTTGAAGAATTAAGTTCCTGAAATGATTGATACAGGGCCCTACACACGTGAATATCCCACAAATGATAATGATAGACATATGGACAGACAAAGCTTACTCCCTAAAAGTAGGTAGGCTATGGACCTTGAATAAAAGGGATTTGGAAGCTTAAGGGAGATGTGATTTGGGATGTGTATGTATTAGCATCCCTATATGCTAGCCTTAGGGTACATTCTTTTTGACTTACAGAAGAGAATGAAGAATAGCAGATGTTTCACAGCTGTACTGACTAGGCTTTCTAAAGAAGCTGTAAGCCAGGAAGTAGCATTTGAACACAAATAGGAGATTGTGGAACTACATATCTTTGGGAGCTCTAGAAGGTAGCCTAGGTCCATATCAGGCCTCAGGGGCAAGTCTTAGCCTTCTAAATGCATTCCTGGGTTCCCTGAGTCAGAGGGGCTGGCTGATACTTAACTGCCCATATTGCTTGGACATTAACCACAGGGACAGAAAATAAAGTAGGATGTCAGGATGAGGAAAGGCTCTTGGGAGCCTACGGAAATTTTCCAGTTTGCACTTGGAAGAAGGGCAGAGTAACACCTTCAGGTATATATTCTCAATGGGTGGTTGGTAAGCTTCTCTCATACACACACATCAACATATACACACATAAACTTACGTCTGCAGTAGGCAGTTCCAGACCAACGACGGCTTGGCAAGCATTGCACTGACCTCAGTCCAATCAATCGAAAGCCCCGGTCACAGGAGAGCTCACAACGTGTGCCTAGACTGCTGTGATAATTCCCTCCCCTTGGTGAGTAGCATGTGGCTTCTCCATCTTGGATGTTTAATGTATAACACCACCGAGGAACTGTATCAATAGAAGAAAAGTAAGCTAGAAGCACAGTAATCAAGATAGTGTCGTGTTGGTGAAAGGGCAGACACATAAATCAATGAAACAGAATAAAGATTCCAGAAATACACCCACACAACTATGCCAGAATGATTTTTGACAAAGGTGCAAAAGAAATTCAGCAGAGGAAAGTTTTTCAAACAAATGGTACTGGTGCATAGAAAAGAAACATAATCTAAGTCTCAAACTTTATACAAAAATTAACTCAAGATGGATGACAGACTTAGATGTAAAAAGGAAAAATATAATTCTTTTAGAAGACAACATAAGCGAAAATCTCAAGGACCTAGTGGTAGACAAAGAGGTCTTAGACATGACTCCAAAGCACAATTCATAAAACAAAAATCAATAAATTGCACCTTGTCAAAGTTAAAACTTTTTTTCTGTGAAAGATACTCTTGAGAAATCAAAGATAAAGTACAAAGTAGGAGAGAATATTTGCAAATCATATCTAGCAGAGGACTAGTACCTAGAATATAGATAAAATTATCAAAACTCAGCAATATAATAGCAAATAGTCCAATTAGAACATGGGCAAAAGATACAAACAGACATGTGAAAAAATGTTTAGCATCATTAGTCATTAAGGAAATATACCCATTAAAATGCCTATATTTAAAAAAAAATGGCAATACCAAGTGTTGGTGAAGATGGAAAGAAATTGGAAATCTCATGAATGACCAACAGAAATGCAAAAACAGCCACTTTGGAAAATGGTTTGGTAGTTTCTTATAAAGGCAACACCAAATCTTCTTTTTAAAGAAAGGTACACTTTCCATATGACTCTGCTATTCCACTTAATGTATTTACTGAAGTGAAATGAAAACTTGTGTCCACACAAAATTCTGTATACAAATGTTAAAGTACTTCTATTAACAATTACCAAATTCTGGAAACAACTCAAATGTCTTTATGGGTGAATGGTTAAAAAAACTGAGGTTTATCCATTCGTTTCTTCTTCGTAAGAGAGAATCTTTTTATCTATGTCTTATATTCTGAGTAAGTACTTTGAAGACAATAATACACAGTGTATTACTATTGTTATTTTCTTATTTTGTTGTGGAATTTTAATTTTTTCATAAAATAAAAAATTATTTAAAAAGAATGAAATGCTTACGCATGCAACAACATAGATGAATCTCAAATGCATTTTAGGAAGTGAAGGAAGGCAAACTCCGAAGGATACATGCCATAGTATTCCATTTATATGACAAAGACATAGGGACATATATAGGCAAAAATATAGGCACAGAGTACAGAGCAGTACTTGCCAGAGATCAGTGGTAGAGGGAGAAGGCTGTCCTCAAAGGATCGGCACTGTGTAAATTTGAGGTGATGGGACTGTTTTGTACTATGGTAGTAGTTATCTCACTTTATGCATTTAAAACTCACAGTAGTCTACATCAAAGAAAGTGAATTTTACTGTAGGAAATTTAAAACAAATACTTTTTTTTAATATAACATGAAAATGTAAATTTGAGAAAAGGGATGTGACATCAAACAAGGCTGCTTAGGAATAAAAGTCTAATCCCAGTTCAGTACTGAGCACAAAAGGTTATGGGGCCATTACAACATAAAGGCATCATAAAGATGCCTAACTGGCTTTAAAAAATAAATGATTCCTCAGGAGGGTTCAGGTTTTAATGGGACATATATAAATCAATGAAAGGCCACCTCCCCAAAGATGTTTACATGACACAGATATGTTTGCCTAGGGTTGGGAAGGCTAAAGCCCCGTGTAAGCTGATTTGATTCCAAAATCCTAGGGATAAAAAAGTGGAACTTTACTAAAAAGCACACCAGAAGCTAAAGGAATAGAGGAAGGATAGAGCCTCTGCTTGAATCCAGCTAGAAAATGAAGACAGATGACAGTAAGAAAACTGTTCTTCAACCAGCACTACACTTGGGACTTCCAGGATTAGTTTTGACCCTGTGGCAAGGACAGGATTGGTATCTGAAGATACCATCTCCAAATTACAAAAAGTCTCCTAAGCACTATGTTGCAGAATTGTTGATTATAAGGCCACAGCACATCTCAAAGACCTTATATGGGAGGCCGAGACCTCAACAATCACTTCCATTCTATTTCTCTCCTGTATTCTGTCAAGGAAAATACACATCCAATTAAAATTGATAGAAGAAGCAGCAATGGTAAAGGGAAATATGAAGTTCAAGGCAAATACTGAACAGTAAGAGAGGCCAAGCCATTGTAAATAAGTTCAATTTTGTTGGCCCAGAGGAATCCTGGTACAAAGGCAAAATATTAAAAGGCTGCAAAAGGGCAAAAACACAATCCTAGTTTTCAAATAAGAAAGAAGATAGCCTCTGGGAATTTTAGCCTGGTGATACTTAAAGCACTGATAGCATACTATTCCAGAATACTTAAAGGTATGACTTATTAGCAATTAGACAGAGAAGTGGTGATCTCTAGGAGCCCTCAAGAACAAGTAATACCAGACTGACTTCATTTCCATTTTGAGTAGGGCCACCAGACTGGTAAAACAGGGGAAATGGTAAGTATATTATGTGGAAGTAAATGAGGCATATGACAATGCTTTTCATGGCAGTGATGTAAATAAGATGACAAAATACAGGAGTGGTCACAAAATAGTTGAAGATTCATAAATGGCTGAACAACTGTACTCAAAGAATCCTCCCTAGAAACTGAAACTAAGCATGTGATTAGATAATGCATGCAACAAATGTGTGCTAGAAAATGTGTAGGTCTGTACTGAGTATTTCCCCTCTCTATGCACCAGGCTGTATACTTTTCTTTTCATATGTTATCTCATAGAGTTCTAAAACAACCCTGTGAGGTAGGTAGGTATTTATCTCTGTTTTGTAGATGAAGAAGTAACTTGCCTATGGTTCCTCAGCAAGTAAGAGGCAGGGCTGGGATTTGAACCCAAACCTTGCTCTAAAAATCTGTTTCTAAGCATAAAATTTGCCTCTGCAGTTGCTATCTTGAAGTACATATACATGCATCACCTTTTGGGAGAAGTAATATACCCACATGTTTCACAATCCAGTTACTCAGTAAAATGTCCCTCTCCCAATTTTATTCCCAAGCCTACCCTCACTTTGTCTCCCCCTAAAGAATCATTATTAATAATTTCTTTATGCATGTAATGTAAATGTTGGTATAGTTTCTTATTTTTTCCATCTATTAAACACATAGAGTAGCATATTACGCCCACTCTTCTCATCATTGCTTTTTTAAGGGGGTGCTGAGGATGGAACTCAGGACATTGGGATGCTAGGCAAATGCTTTACCACTGGGCTACATCCTCAAGTCTCTCCACTGCTTTTAAAATAAACTGAACAATGTATTTTAAAAGATCTTTCCATATCATTGCATAACAGGCATATGATTTATTTAAATTAAATCACATTTATAATATATAGTTCGGAGACTGGGCATATAATAGGTATTTGTCCTGGATCAAAGGCTGAAAAGGCTCTCTTTTTAGGGCAGATAAAGAAGAGAAAGCACTGACAACAGGCTTGAAAAGGTCTTCCCTGTGATTATCTTCAAATAATCCAGGCAAAATGACTAGTTTGCCCAGGGCTAAGGCAAAGTGTGAGGAAAACGGCAGCCCAGCAGACTGAGGGCACACCTCAGAGAAAAGCTTCTGACCAAGCTAGGTTTCATGATAAGGTAATGAGAGGAAGTACAAGTTTAATGAAAATGGTACCAAACTACGTGGGCAGTTTGCTCTACACTAATAATATGCTTTTAATTGGTTAGTTTTTCTTTTTATCTTTTTAAAACAACTGGTTACATTTTAAAACTGAAAGACAGGAAAACCATGGTTTTAGAGTCAGATAGATCTGGGATTAAATTCCTGCTCTGTCACATTTAATCCCTGTGACCCTAAATTTAACTTCCCTGAGCTTAGTTTTCTGATCTGTAAAATGGGCGATAATAAACCATTTTCTTGGGACTGTGCTGAGAATCAAACAACATTGCATTTGTAAAATATCTAGCCCTACAAATGATGTTTCTTAAATCTGTGTCTGGGTTTAAGATACCATCTCATCCATTTTCAGGCTACAAGATACTGTGGCTTCCTTCCAGCATTATTTTCTGGACATGTGCCTATGACACACAGCTGCCATCTCAAGACACTGTCTCCAGATGACAAAAAGTTGCCCCCCCGCCATACTAGTGATTGAACTCAGGGACTTTGCAGTGAGGCACATCCCCAGGCATTTAAAATAAGTTTTTGTTTTGTTTTGTTTTGTTTTTTAACATAGGGTCTCATTAAGTCACAAAGTTGTCCAGGCTGGGCTTGAACTTGTGATTGTCTACCCTGAGACCCTCAGAGTGTTGAGATTATAGATATGTGCCACCATGCCCAGTTCATTTGTGGCTTTTTACTATCCACTTCTCTCATTAACAGCCTCCTACAATCTGGCTTCTATTCCCGGGATGTCACCAGTCAGCATCTACTTTTTACATGGTTCTGTTGGAGTCGTATTACATGGATCCTTCTGTTAAAAAGGCAACCATTTTGTTGAGAGTAATAAAAAGTAGACAAAAAGGACAGTTTATAATGAAGGTAAGGAACACTGATTTCAAAAGAAGTATGTAGTAGGTACTCAATAAATAGCCAATGAAAGAATGAGTGGCTGAGGGAAAGCTCCATGCTGGTTAATGCAGTCTGGGAACAGAATAGAACATACTGGCTGAGGCACATACTTCATGTGGGGGAAAGGGAAAAGAAGTTGTCAGGCTAGAAAGTTAGACTGAGGCCAGATTCTGATTAAAATGATCATAGTGGGCCACTAGGCTTAGGTGGGGGTTTAGAGAAACATGAATCAGATAATCCAGTTAAGAGGAAACTACCATTATCCATTTGTAAGATAATGAAAGTTTTAACCTAAGGATTAATAAAGAAATGACAGGTCTTGGTGAATGACTGATGAGCAATGATGACAAAAAGGGGAGTGCTAAAGGTGATGGGCACTATTAGAAGTGACACTGAGGTATTTTGACGTCTAAGTACTTAAGAAAATGATGGTACCATTGTCAGAAGTAGGAGGGTCAGCTAATAGAATCTTTTTCAGGCAAGATGAAAGAATTTTGTTTCAGCCACCTGCAAAAGATTGTAGTCCAGGAGGTCAGGAGAGAGGTCAGGATTGCCTAAAGTTCATATCCGACTTTCATTCTCTCTATTGTCACCAGCAGAAAGCCCATCCATTTTCTTGGCTTCACTTATGACCAGAACAGTGCAATGTTATGGAACTCAAAGAATCGTGGTTAAGAAGAAAGGGGCATGCTCTTTGTTGGTGGAGATACTGAGGCTGAAAGTCAAAGCCACACGATTTAGTCGCTAGAGAACTGTGGTCTCTAAGAGATGTTGTTTCAGCTTGGAATTAGTGGGCAGATAGGAAACAGTCTGCAGAGAGTTTAGAATTTAGTGGGCACAGAGACAGAATGAGTAGGTACGGACAATTGGCAGTAAGAAGACAGAAGCTAGAAAGGAGCATAGAAGAACCCAAAGTTCTGATCACTTTTATATCGCAACTTTTATCAAAGGTCACAATTTGCCACCTTGCCAAGTAAAATATTTGCTCTCCCTTCAATTTGATCTTTTCTTTTTCAATATTGGACAGGTTTTCCATGTTCCTAAAATTCTCTTCTGTGGCTTCTGTAACATGACAGAAACTGCCTTTGTTTCTTGTCACATGGCTGGCCACCAACTGTTTTCCTTGCTGGTTCTACTTCTCCTACTCATATCTAAAGATGTCTTCTAAGGCTTTGACCTTGGCCCTCCACTTCCTCAGGCAGCCCATCCATCTATGCTGAGGTCTCACAAAGCTCTATCTTTCCACTTCCAACTGCCTATAGGATACCTTTACTAAACCAGTTTTCCTTGATAACCTTGTCTTTTTGAGAGGGATCTTATAATTCTCTCAGGTATTCTTAGGGTCTTGCTAAATTGCTAAGTTGCTCAGGATAGGCTCAAGCTTGCAATCCTTCTGCCTCAGCCTTCCCGAGTGCTGGGATTACAGGCATGTGTAATCCCACCATGTGTGGTTCAGAGATCAGTTTCTTTCATAGCCTGGTGGTACATCAAATCTGTAACAAGTCTTGTCATCTCCTTCTTTGAATATTTTTGGGGTACATCTCTTCCCTTTTTCTCCCTGAGGTTCTGGGGATGGAACCCAGGGCCTTAAGCAAGCTAAACAAGTGTTCTACCACTGAGTTACATGTATAGCCCCTCTGGAGGATATCCTTACTCTCCATTTCTTTACCGTTACCCTGAGAAATGTCTAGCTAACTTTACTCTGATTCCTGGAGAATCTTCCCAATTCAGGCTCTATGCCTTCTTTTTTTTTTATTAGCATTTGTTTGCATACATTACAGATATAGTTACATTTGTTTTGGTGGGATTGGCATACAGAGGTAGCATATCTTGATCATTTTGAATCCCTTTATCCACCCACAACCTATCCTCCCTTCTGTCCTCCTCCTTGTTACCTTCCCCATCTCCAACAGGTCTGTTTTTTATTTCCTATCATATGTCTTTTAACTCTTATTTTATGTTTTAAATGTCTCATATAAAAGTAACCATGTGACATTTAACTTTCTGTCTGACTTATTTACATTATGGTCTCAAATTCCATATATATTCTGGCAAATGTCATGATTTCATTCTTTTTATGGCTGAATGGTATTCCATTATGTGTATATATACCACATTTCCAACCACTACTTTCTGAACAGAATAACTAGGTTAATATTCTAAAATTATCACTGAGAGTGTTGCTTCTTTGTGCAAAAATATGATGGCTCCTTATAGCTCCTAGTACAACAGCTAAACTCATGAGTGGCTTGCAAAGTACAGAAATGGAAAAGATATTCGATATCACCTGAACTAACTTTCCTTCTAGTGCAGGAATCATTACTCAGCATTCTTCACAGGCAGTTCCCCTGCCTTACCTTAAGCAGGTTCCTAGATCACAGAGGCTTTCCAAATTTTATTTCTACTCTGTGTTCTGTTGTTCTACTCTGTGTTCTGTACTACTTCCTCCACATTCCACCACCTTCTGTCAAGCTTGTTTCTTCTTAGCTCCCTCCTGTAATGAATTTCTTCTTACCTCCCTATCTTTGTCCATCTGCTTTGCCAAATGTCCTCCCCTCCTTTTTACAGTTCTCAATTTTCCACTCATCATTCAATGCCTAGTCTAACTGTCATCTTTCATGATCCCTTTCCTGTCTTTGTCTTAACTCCTATTACATTTACTGCTACCACAGAGCTTCATACTTACTTGTCCTACATGTGCTAATTTTATCTTCTCTTCACCTCCCATAGAATATGAGCTCCTTCAGGGGAGCTAAACTCTATCTTAGACTTTGTATCCCCCGCAGACTTACTTTGCATAGTATTAGGTATAGAGTAGGTTCTCAATCAGTACTTAATGATTAATAATAAATAAGCAACCCACAGGATAGAGAGGTAAAGTCATATAACCAGTCATTACTAGAACTAGGTAGTTCACGTTTAGCAATCACAGCCCCTGATGATTCCCAGTGCTGCAATTGACACATATAAGCCAATCCTGGATGAACATGCTTCAAGAAGTGGCCTAGGTCTTAGGCCTTCCTGAACCTGAGAAATAGTGAGGATTACCTTGGTAGTCTAGGGGAAGAGCCTGTGGGATCTCTTCTGTATGTACTTCATTGTAACTTTCATCTGGATAGTAGCCTGAACCTAGAATGAAGAAGACAATATCAAGATAATGTATTAGTTTCTCACTCAAGTCCTTCTCACCCCCCTCTCCACCCCACCCCCAGCCACCTTTGTCTTTTCCTGTGGACTTGGCACTGCACTGGCAGGCAGTCAGGGGACTTGAAGAAGCTGTGGGAACTACAGTGGGTGCACCTCAGAATATCAGAGGGCAAGTTCATGGTTGGGTGTCAGTGGTAGCACTAGAGGATTCCTTTCATAAGAAAAATACTGTAACTGAACTTCTTGACCATCTATCAATCCCGTGAATCTTGACTATAGTCATTTATAAATGATCCATTCCCTTGATGTAATGTACAAGACTTCCGAGACACTGATGACCAAATTCTGAGGATGGAATGTTTTTCCAGGTAGGAGGGGAAAAAAATAGACCTGAAGGGTCGTTCCTTTCTTACAGATATGCTCAAAATTCTTAGAGGGAAATAATCACTCAAGCTCCCACTAGCCCACAGGGCATGAGTATTGTCACATGATGTTGGTGGGAATGGCATGCTAAGGCAGAAAGGATGGCTCCAAAGACAAGAAGGAATGAGAACAGTCTCATGAGCACTTTTTCCTGCTTTGAGAAAAGGGAGACTTTTTTGGGGGGGGTCTATGCTTGGGATAGGTCTCAGGGCTTCAATCCTGCTATGCAAACACTCTACCACTGAGCCACACCCCCAGCCTAAGGCAGAGTGCTTTGAATAAATTTCCTGTTCATCTAATGAGAAAGCTTTTGCAGGAAGCTGAGGAGCCAGTGAACATTCCAAATCTACCTCTATCCAGTTAAGTGGCCCAGTCCCTGTTGTAGGCAGGTCTGTGGCTGTCTGGGAGAAAAAAACAGTATATTCCACCAGATGAATATGAATTAATGGGAACAAGTTGGTCATTTCTGGACCGAAGTTTATGGAAGCCCTTCTTCCAGCCTTCCTGAGCTCTAATGTGAGTACAGGAATGGGGCAGCCAGCTGTGCTGAAATCTGAAGACAATTCTCCATTTCCAGGAGACTGTACTTCCTGTACAGGGCTGGGTTTTGGTTGCGGGAGCCAGTTAGCCTGTGTAAACAATCAGACCACAAGCCTAAATACTTCTGTCCAAGAAGAGGCCCCCTGCCCTAAAGGGTGGAACACAGGCCTGGATGATGTAGGTTTTCTACTCCCCACAGGCCCAGACAGAGGGTGTGTGGGATATTGGGAAACTAGTCTAACTTGGTGAACAAGGGAATGAATCAAATGGAAGGTTTGCTTATGAAATCATGTCCTTGTTGGTTTGCCCTCATTCCAAAGGAAAGAGTTCATTTTCAAATGTTTCTTTTTTCTGTTTTCCCATTTCGGTTTTTTTGGATTGCCCTTATTTCTCCTTAGGCCTCCTCTACCTTGCTTTCTCTTTTCCCACATGGGAGGTTTCTTTGTGAGACATGAAATTCTTGGCAACTGTTTCAGTTTAGCATGTGCTTCAAAGCTTTACAGCTCCTGTAAACAGGAGGCCAGATGTGTATGATTTCCTAAAATATTAGGTCTCCCCACTTTGTTAAAGAGTTAGCTTATGAGAAAATGCTCAGCAGGGAGGAAACACCTGTTTACCACAAGAGAAAACAGGAGTGTCAGAAGCCTATAGCTGGATAACAATAACAACAATGACAACAATAACTGCTAACATCACTCAGCTGCTACTCTACGTTAAGTATATGTTATCTCATTATGTCACCATAACATCTGAATGGGTACAGATGAAAAAGCAGGCTCAGAGGAATTAAGGGAGTTACCCAAGGTTTCCCAGCTAGTATGTAGCAGAGTTGGCATTCCAGCTCAAGTCTGTTTGATTCCTATATATCAAACTCCAACACTTCACTAAAAATGGTAGTAAAGGGGTAGTAAAAATGGCTCTTGACAATGGCCTGTAGGGAAAAAATATTTCTTGCAATCCATCTTTTTCACTCTCTGTGTGTGAGACAGAAGGCCACCAAACATTTTATATCTTTCCAGAATTAGAGGGGACGTGGGAAAACTGAGGGAAAGACTCAATTAGATAGTAACAATGACCCACAAGGATGCAGAGGTAACTAGGCCATTGACAACTTTCCTTTGTGCCAGAAATGACTTGGGCCACTTTACTACTTTTAACTTTTCCATTTCTCCTCTAAACCTGCCTTTGAGTATTTTATACATACACTGGGGAACTAAGGTTGAGTGTACGAGTGAAACTAGCGGGGCACACTCCTTACATAATTCCATTTGCCCTTCTTCAGCCCTGGGAGGGGAAGGGATTGAACAGTATTTTTGTTTCTTTAGATCATTCAGTGATCGCTTTCTCTATGCTCTGTTACTAAGTTCCTCCAATTTCTATAGCATAGTCAGACCCTCTAAGCACTGCCTTTTATAAAGCTATGGTTGGAAATGTAGTTGAAGTCTATTTTAAGATCAAAATTAATGCTTGCTTTATGATGACAAATACAGTCTGACTTCTGGGACTGAACAGATACGCCAATACTCTTTGCTTAATTTATATTCTGAAACATTTCCACTCTTTGAAGATTAATCCTGGGCCCTTTTACTGATTGCTCCTGAATCTATAGTTGGTTGCTTCCCTTATGCCATTCTCACTTGAGCACTAAGCTATAGAAGGGAACAAAACAGTCCTGGATGCATAAGGACTGCTCAATATTTGTTGAATGAATGAATGAACAAATGAATGTAGCCAACCCCAGCAGCTGGGCTAGCAATGTAGGGGATAATCATAGGAACCACAAATGTTTCTCACAATGTAACCAACTAAGAAGGCAACAGAGACCTTACCACTCTGGACTCTTTACAAGAAAAAGTGATGCTGGTGATTCATGTGAAAGTGGGGAGTCCCTCCTTTGCAGACAGCTCTTTAAGAACTTCAAATGAATCTAAGTTTTAAAATAACGGTTCTGTGTTCAGAACTCCAACAGCTCAGGCTTTTGTTCCAGGAAAGGCAAAGGCCTTTGCAAGCAAAGAGATTTTATACAGGTGTTGAAAATTGGCTTTTGAGCCATCTAATCCCTACTCCCTTAGCCCTATGGTCTTTGGCTGGATTTTGGTCTTCACACTTAAACTGAAGCTAGAAGGAGGTTGGGAGGACAGATGCATGTTTATCTCCTGGAGACTTGGGGCTTCTTTAACTCCAAATAGTGTGTGCTCTGCTAAAAGCTTGATTTGAATTTCTTAATATCAATGTCAGCCCTTGTGCTATACCCCCTATAAATCCAGGTTAAACCGAAGAGAAGTTTGCATATTTGTTTGAGAAGTTGGTGCAGCTGTTCCAGACAAACAACACTACTGCCAAAGGCCTCCATGAGGAGCTAAGAACATGTGGAAAATTTTAGCTTGCAATGACTGTGGCTATGATGGGAGAAGTTTGTTATTTATTCATCTTTGGATATTTTCCTAACTCTACTGGCTGGGCCTGTCTCATTCTCCCAAACTCCCCAGCCCCTGTGAGGGCAGAGACTGCAGGCCACAGAATATTCTTAGCAGTTGGAATGCCAGTTGCGCCTCCTCAAAAGCCTGCCAGCCCATTATTATTCCCTCAACCTTTCCCTTCCCGCTTCCCTCTCCTTATTGAGTCCTTTCTTGCTGACTCCCCGTGTCTCCAGAGGTGAAGGGCAAAACATTCAGGAATCCAGAAAACTCCAACCCTTCTGAAATAAGGAACAAGCCAGAAGAAACTAGGGAATTCCTGATTAAGTGAATGTGATCTATATTGTTATTTATCAGAAAGGGATCATAAAAGTCTCATAAACAAGGTCCAGGAGGGAAGCAAAAAGGGAAGGAAGAAGTGTGATGGATTCTTGTTTCCTTCAAATAGTTTGCCTGTCTCCATTTATTTTCCAAATGAGATATGTGGTCTCTGTCCTGTTTTTGTGGTCTTCACAAGGATATTTGAGTCACAAAGGAATTACTATTAATAAAGATTTGACTCATGGAGTACTTGTTAGAAAATGGTTTTTCAAGGAGTGAAATACAAAATAGGGGAGGCAATAGCCTCAAAGACCATGTTTTCTAACCTTCATTTTTGTGCTGGTACATCCCATCTTCAAGTAGCACTTGTTAGGGTGCCTCAAAGGCATTCCTTGATAGCTGTTGCAGTGATTAGTAATATTTATTGTCCTTTAATAGCTTTTATCTGTATTTAAAATGATAATCTTCCATTGTAGTCTACTTCCTTCCTCATCCAAGTTTTGGTGTTAGGCCCTGACCTTCCTGGAAGTAACAGACAATAGCTTCTACAACTTACCTGCGTACCATGTTGGTGTCACTGTTGGAATAAGGAAGAGCAGCAGAGAGAGAGCTCCTCTATGAGTTAGTTGACCAGCCATCCTTGAGAGGAGGGGTTAGGGAAACAAGAAAAGAAGTATGTGTCTAGAAGTACCAGAGTAAAAAAAATGACTTTCAGAAGTCAGCTATCTATGAATTTCCAAAAGTGAGAGGAAGCAGAAATATGGGACCTGTGAGGAAAAAGAAAGATTTTTAAATTATTGAGTGCTTGTTATATTATCTTTCTCATAAAGGTTTCCTGCTTTATAGAACAACAATCCTCTTTGTTATTTATGGTCCCTTTTCTGATGGTATCAGATGCAAATGTTCCATGGTCCAAGTTATAGGGAGAGACATTGCAAAACCTAAACCAGGAAACAAGGCTAATATAAAGTCAAATAGAACCAGGATAGAATCTGACCGTGTGCAGCTACCAGTTAATGGTTTTGCCCATTCAACTAATATTTCCTAAACACTAATTTGGGGACATATTAGCACATAAAATCTAAGAGTTTGAACTCTGGAGTTACACAGATCTGGATATGGATCCATTTATGCCACCTAGTAGCTAGGGGGCCTTAGACAAAAATCATTAACTTCTCCAACCCTCTGTTTTCTCATTTATAAAATGGAAATAATAGTAGCATCTGCATTATAGCCTGAAACATAACAAAACAATCAATATGTTTGACACGACTATTAGCAACTTTATACTAGACAGGCTTGGATATTTCCCTTTTTCAATCTCCCAGGCAGTAACCATACCTTGACTCTGTTCCTAGCTTTGGGTTTTGAGGCTTAGTGGTTTGGGAGTGCTTATGGTTTTCAACTCCTACCTAACCTTCTAGCTTTATCCTGCTGAGCCAGCAGGAAGTCAGAGAGGTTGGGAAACCTATTGAAGTCCATGAAGAGAGGCTGAGCAGGCCCCAACTGCCCTCTCACTTCCCATAATGTCCTCACTCTAATGGGATGAGAGCTTTTTGTGGTTCCCAGTGGGAAAATACTCAGTAAATAACAGTATTAAAACTTACCACCATTGGTATAAACTGGCCACTGAACCTTTCAGCAAGCACCCATTCACCCATATGCCTTCAGTGAAATGCCATGCTCAGAGGAGAAGTCAGTCCCAGAAATGGAGAAACTGAAAGATGGTAGATTCTGGCCAGAGTCTCTAAAGGGACATGCAGAGTCCAAGAAAGGCAAAATTTCATTTTCCAGTTCATAGATAACCTGGCTTTAGATTTTATCCACAGAGTGGCAATCAAGTGAGACAGAGAAAAAAGTGAGAAAGCACGAGGGAAGTCAGGGAAGTGAAATGATGCAGAAAGGATATTAGAAAGAAAAGAAAATCTGACAGAGCTAAAGACAGGAGATGGATTATAGAAAAAGGCAACAAAAGGAGAAGAAAGAGATTAAAGGAAGCTCCAGGACAATGAATAGCTAGATAATGACTGACACTTTCCCCACATCCAGGCTCAATTCATTTAGTTTGCTCTTGAGCAGAGGTTTTCCTTCTTTCAAACTAGATACTGTACTCTGAGTCTATGACTCCTTATCTTCCCGCCTCCTCCCTGATCTCAGATTGAAAATGTGACTCACCGGACTCAACCACCCCTCTGCTGTGGGCTGAGAAGGTAGTGGGAACACGTGTGTGCAGCCAGGTCACAGCAAAAACAAAAACAGAATATGATCCAATTTCACAAAAGAGCTTCCCCTCTTCAACTTGCAGCTGTATCATCCAAATTCTGCTTCTCTTTATCCTCCAATGCTGTGAAACAGGGTAGTATAGTATGAGGGGTTAATTGGAGATCTTACCTGTTTATAGGGTTTTTTTGTTGCTGTGTTTCTTTCCCTTCCTCCTTCTCCTTTCTGTCTGCTCCTCTCATAAGTCGGAAAGAAAAACCTTCTACTTTAACATTCCTACAACGAGTGGCTCCTGTTTTTTTCCAGCTTCCAGGATTCTGTTAACACTGCCCAGATGTTAAGACTTTCACATCCGCCAAAAGTTGCCTTAAAGCTATATTATCCTCAAAGCTATAGCTCTTCTTCCCTGAGAGAAAGGTTTTAGAGAGATGAGCGAGAAGAAACAGAAAGACTAGAGGAACTCAGTCTGTCTGCGGCAGAACAGGGAGCAGTGTGAGTGATACTGCCCTCAAGCCCATGCGTATAGTGATGACTAACAGACTGGCTAAAGGGCTTCCAGAATGTGCTGTGCTGAAGAACACTACTTTTTATGACTTGGTATGACATCAGGATTGAATGAAAAGGAATTTCACAAACTCCAGTGAGAGGGGAAATAGTGTGACTGATTTCAAAATTTCCTGGCGTTTTCCTTTGTCATTCCTTAGTACTCAAATTCCAAGTTGCTTTACTATCCATATAGTACAGGTCAGACACAGTCTAAAACCCCAATTCTTCTGGACTTCAGTTTCTAAGATTATGTTGTTTACAAAATACTACCGAGCATTCACTTGTGTGTGTGTGTATGTGTGTGTGTGTAGTGTAGCAAAATCAGGGCCTCGAACATGCCAAGCAAGCATTCTACCCTCAGCCTTACTATGCATGTCTTGCCTGAAGACTCAGGACTGATTTCTCATGCTAAGAATGGAGGGAAAGAGGCTTTCCTTAAAGAGGCTTTCCCTAAAGAGGCTTTTATGGGAGGTTTTTAAGTGAATCTAAATGATATGTGGATGGCAATGTGAAAGCCATTACTAAACTGTTTCCCAGTGGTCTCTGACAGAGGGGTATGTTTCTCTTCACTAAGCAAGCTTTCTTCATCTACAGCTGACAATGAAATTATTCTTGCATAGTAGAGACCAGCTTCTTACATTCGTTTCTCTTCACAGCTGACATGTCTATCTCTTGAAAAGTCAGTGGTTGTAAATGAAAAAAAGTTTTACCTGTTGCAGAAAAGATTTCTCCCCTCGGTATGCAAGCAAATTGGTAACTCTTACTTATCATCAAGGGAAGAATTGTACTTAAAATAATACAAAAATCATTAGCAAACCTGAATCTGTTTCATTTCCAACCCACCAATAACAAATATGTATTGAATGTCTACCATTTGTTCAATAGTGTGGCAGCAATATAAAGAAGCAGAAGACATGATCTCAGCCTCATTCATTCAATAAATTTATCAAGCATCTAGTTTGTCAAGGATGGTGAAAATAGCAAGACAGACAAAATCTCTGACATCCTAATATATCTAATTAATTCAACAAATATTTGATGAGAATCTATAATAAATGGTCACGTTGATGCCACACATTGTTCTCGGTACTTGAGAGGCATCAGTGAACAAAAGCAACAAAAATCACTGCCCTTATGGGATGGAGGTGATCCATCAAATCAAAATTATTTTTCAATTCTGTGTGTTCAGGAAATCTTTATTGGTCATCTACTATAAGGTAAGCATTGGGAATACAATGGTAAGCAAGGAATGTGTGATCCTGGATCTTATAGAACTTAATATCCAGCTCCCAGAAAGTTTGTGTTTTTCAGGGGAGAAAAGAGGGACCCAGACAATTAGAAATCAGTACAATACCATACAGTAACAAAGTGCCAAAAAGTTACAGTACAGATTCTGACAACTCCAGGAAGAGGATGCAGGAGGAACCACTTGGGAAATGGTGGGCTTTAGTCTATTCTCAGGCAAAGGAAATGACATAAGCAGGATCTCACTGTTAAATCCACAGGAGAGGGACTGACTGATAAGATGGTTCTGGGGAGCGATAGGAAACAAAGTTGAATAAACAGGGTAAGGCCAGAAGATTCAACTATAGGAGTTTATCCTAGACTAATGTATTAGGAAATAGCGAATGTATTAAATGAATGAGGGAGAGAAAGAGAGAGAGGGAGAATATGGAATATATGATACAGAGAGAATAGGGAAAATAATAAATTCTACCAGAAGTTGTTTCCAGAGATGTTTCCCTTTCTAAAATAAATCACTTTCCTGGCTCCCTCTTGGCATAGTCTCAGCTCCTTAGCATGGCATATCATACCCTTCACAAGCAAACCTCATCTGTATCTTCAGCCTAGTTTTAAACATTCATCTCATGAGTACTGCTTGTGGACACACGGAGGCTCTTACTGTTTCTTTCATATTTTTGTGCATTGTCACAGACACATTTACTCTGCCCTGGATTCCCTTCCCTCCTTTCTTGACCTGTTGAAATTGTATCCACTCTTTCTGCTGAGAAGCTTCCCCCAGCTTGTTCCAGTCACAGGTAGCTTACTTTGTCTTCCTATTCTCTCATAACACAAATCGTACCTATCTCAATTGTAGGCCTTACCACATGCATTGTCATTGTTTTTATTTATTTATGACCCCAAATAGAATGTGAGGGCTTAGGGGACAAGAACCTCAGTCTTCTTCATATTCCCAGCACTCAACACAGAACCACCTTAGCACTTGCTAGGATGAGGATGCTGCATAAGGCCTCAATCCTACTTACAGCTGGAAGGAATGAAACAGGCTAGTGACAGAGAGAGGTCAAAGAAGAAAGTAAAGGGGCGGGGATATAGACATCATAGGTAGATAAATGTAAAGAGATAAGTGAGAGGAGAAGGACAGAATTCCCATGAAGCACTAAAATGAGGAATATGGAGAACTCTCCCAAAACTGGTGGGGTTAATTTAAAAAGAAAATTCTTGAACCACCTACTATATGTGGAAATCACTGGTAGACACTGTTGGGATATAAAGTGAAGTAAAATACCTTCCTATAAGGTTTGACTGGGAAGATAAGATGAAGACAAAGGCATTAACAAAATACATAGTACATTTATTAAAGCTCTTCAAGTTCAGTACCATTTTCAACTTTAAGACTTTTAGTATGAAGCCTTTCAGCAGTCAATAAAGTATTACTTTAAAAAAAATTCTAGATAAAGAAACTGACTTACCTAGCCTGAGCTCTCAGCAAAACATAAGGAGGCTAGATTAGAAGCAACTTTCTTACAAAAAATATGTGGAATTGTGAATTTTAGTGCTATTCAAAAATATTTTTAATTTTTATGTGCCATGAATTATATATTATGAGCTCTTTGGGAAGAAAGTAAGATGACAGATGAAAATGATTCGTGGAAAATCTGAGAAGAGTGTATGAAAAAAAAGTAAATGAAAAATAGAAGAGAATTTCAGCAAATGAATACTGGGAAAAATGAGAGATGATAGGAAATAAAAAGATATTCCTGTTCAAGAAACTAACTTTTACTTTATCTGAGAAGTGTGTATTCATTTCAGATGCCTAGTTTTGGACTGGGCCTTTAAATTTTGGGGGTCCGATTTTTTTCAATTCTTTGTATGTTCTACATATTAGTCCTTTGTCTGAGGAACAACTGGCTACAATTTTTTTCCACTCTGTGTGTGGTCTCTTCACTCTGTTGGTGATTTCCTTTGCTGGGCAAAAGATTTTTAATAGGATGAGATCCCAGTTGTTGATTCTTTGTATTATTTTCCATGCAGTTGCGGTTTTGTTCATAAAATCTTTGCCTATACCTATGTTCTCAAGAGTTCTACTTATTCTCTCTTCTAGCAGATTTAGTGTTTCTGTTTGAATATCTAGATCTCCAATCCATTTTGATTTTAGTTTAGTGGATGGTGAGAGAAATGGGTCTAGTTTTAGTCTTCAGCATATAGAAAGCCAGTTTTTCCAACACCACTTGTGAAAGAGGCTATCTTTCTTCCAGTGAATATGTTTGGCACCTTTGTCAAAGATAAAGTGGCTGAGTGTGTTTGGGGTTGTTTCTGCATCTTCTAGTCTGCTCCATTGATCCTGAGGTCTGTTTTTTGGCCAGTACCATGCTGTTTTTTAACACAGTAGCTGTATAGTATAATTTCAAGTAAGGGATTTTAATGCCCCCCTGCCTTGCCTCCTTTGTTGTCCAGAATTGTTTTTGCTATTCTAGGTCTCTGCTGGTTCCAGATGAATTTTAGGAATGTTTTCTCTAGTTCTGTGAGGTATGCTATTGGTATTTTGATTGAGATTGCATTAAATCCTTATAACAATTTTGGGAGTATGGCCATTTTCAGTATGTTGGTTTTTACTTCCCAAGAGCAAGGGATATCTTTCCATTTCTTGTATCCTCTTTGATCTCCTTTTTCAGAGTACTGTAATTTTCCATATAAAGGTCCTTTACTTTCTTTGTTAGATTGATTCCTAAGTATTTCATTTTTTAATGCTATCGTGAAAGGTGTTATTTCACTAATTTCTTTCTCGGTGAGTTTGTTATTTGTGTACAGGAATGCTATTGGTTTTTGAGTATTGACTTTGTATTTGATTATTAAATCTAGAAGTCTTTTGGTGGAGTTTTTAGGGTCTTCTGTGTAGAGAATCATGTCATCTGCAAATAATGATAATTGAACTTCCTTTCCCATCTTTATTCCTTTTATTTCTTTCTCTTGTCTAATTGCTCTCACTAGTGTTTCCAGAGCTACATTAAACAGGAGTGGTGATAGTGGACATTCTTGCCTTGTTCCTGATTTTAGAGTGAAAGCTTTCAATTTTTGACCATTTAGTATGATGTTGGCTGTTGGTTTGTCATAGATAGCTTTCATTAGATTGAGGTAAAGACCATCTATTCCAATTTTTGTAGAGTTTTTATGAATGGGCATTGGACATTGTCAGATGCTTTTTCTGCATCTATTGAGATGATCATGTGATTTTTGTCTTTGGCTCTGTTGACATGATGTATTGTATTTATTGATTTGCATATGTTGAACCACACTTGCATCCCTGGTATGAATCTTACTTGATCATGGTGTATAATCTTCATGATTATTTGCTGCATTCTTTTTGCCAGTATCTT